CCTCTAAACCTCTCTCCTCTTACTTGATAACGTTACTCTACAAAGATGTTACTCTTTGAACCCGGCCACTCTTCTGCCACTTCCCAAAGGGGGAGTACCACAATACTGGTACAGTCTGGACATAAATCCTGATGTTCACATGGATCTTCAGGTGAAAAAGCCTACGGTTCCACATGATGAACAACCTGAAAACTACTTACATTGCACCCTGTGGTTCAAGAGCACCCCAGGTCCTGACTCATACTATGAAGAAGAACTCTTCAGCCTGGTAGAAATACGCATTACACTAACAGACCTGTTTTGTGACAAAGGAAACATTGTTCTCAGTCTACCTGCCTATGGAGGTTTCTCACTTATATCACCTTTGGGGGTGGCTGTTCCTCATATCTCCTTCACCAAGTCTCCAGATCTTTCATGGAAAGAACTTGGCCCAATGGTCAAAACATGGAGTACTGCAACCCAAGAACAGCTCACATTCACGGGGGTCACCAAAAGAACCATAAACTGCAACACAGTCGGTTACCCTCGATATCATACAGACATATGTGTAGACATGCCTCCTACAGAACAAGACCCAGATGCCCCTCATGATTGCTTTGAACAGATGAAAATGGAAACAACCCATCTCCCAACAGTGCACAAGGCTGCTCTATCCAACCCTGACTACACACTGTTTATGGATGGTTCTAGATTTGCAGATGAACAGGGACAATATCATACCAGATATGCAGTCACCACAGAAGACCAAATACTCCAAGCATCTGCTCTTCCATTGTTTAAGTCGGCACAGGAAGCCGAACTAATAGCCCTCACGGTACCATGCAAAATGTCTGAAGGGAAGCGTGCTAATATTTACACAGACTCAAGGTATGCTCTAGGCGTGGCACATGATTTTGGCTTAATCTGGAAAACCAGGGGGTTCCTTACAGCAACAGGTACCACTGTGAAACATGGCGCAGCTATCAAAGAATTGATGGACGCTTTACTGCTTGCTGAAGAGGTGGCCATATTGAAAGGAAAAGGCCCACGGGAGACTAAATTCAGAAGAAGCACATGGCAACCACTTAGCCGACCAGGCCGCTAAGGATGCGGCGCGAAAATGTTGGGAAGTGGACAGAAGAGTGCCCGTTGAAAAGACTCCTATTTACACTATGCAGACCTTACCCCACCGATCTCAAGCTCCTAAGAGAACAACAGGCCACAGCCACCCCTCAAGTAAAACAAAGCTGGAAAGATAAAGGGGCAACCCTCCAGAATGAAGTATATACAATAAACCTCAAATTCTGTCTACCCAAGAATATGTACCCAGCTGTCGTCCAGTGGGCCCATTGACCAATATTTTGAAGCTCCCAGAATCACCACCTTGATACGTAATTACTGCAGATCCTGTACTATCTGCGTCAGATGTAACCCCGGGAAAATAATTAAAGCCGCACCAAACCATTTGGCCAAGCTGCAGTACCCTTTCCAAAGGATCCAAATTGATCATATCCAAATGCCAGAGTGGACGGTATGAATCTCACTGCCAAGACCACGGCAAAGCACCTACTTACTGAAATCGTCTGCAGATACGGAGTTCCTGAGGTGATCGAAAGTGACCAGAGAACATCCTTCACCGCCTTACTAACCAAAGAAATCTGGGCAGCACTGAGGGTGACCCTTGCATTCCACACACCCTATCACCCACAGAGTAGTGGTAAGGAAGATCGCATGAATGGCACTCTGAAAGCCAGAATGCTTAAGATGGCCCAAGAAACTAACCTACCCTGGCCGGAAAGTCTTCCCATAGCACTATTTAGTGTAAGGTACACTCCAAGAGTGAGATTTAGCTTGTCCCCTATGAGATTTTATTTGATACAGCACCCAGGTTAGGCTGTTACTTTCCTCAAGAACTCCAAATTCAATCAGATGCAATGGTAGATTATATAACTGCACTCTCTCATGCTTTGACCAAAATCCATGCACAAGTGTTTTCTTCTATTCCATATCCAGAGTCAAATACAGGCACACATAAGCTACTTCCTGGTGACTGGGTCATGGTCAAGAAGTTTCTCAGAAATCATACCCTTGAGCCAAGGTTTGATGGTCCATTTCAAGTGCTATTGACTACATCTACCTCTGTAAAGTTGGCCGGGAAGAGTACCTGGATACACGCCTCGCACTGTAAGAAACTACCTGATCCAGAGGAAGCAGATTCCGCCAAACCATGAGCTTCCTGTGCCTATTTTTGCTACTAGGCCTATTAATGGCCCAACAAGTTGCTATTACCAAAGATAATCATGTTTATACATTCTGGTATAACTCTTCAAACACACATGTAGCTACTTTTACCTTTGATTACTGTGATATTGTTCCTTGTACCTTTCCACAGTCACAACACTCAGCAATATACAAAGACATACCGAACAAGAAGGACCCCTACATTTGTGTGACAGGTGGCCATTGGGGACAGCACTGTGGTACCTGGAAAGCAGCGGGTTGGAACACAGGCCGACCATGGGGCTACAGACCACAAAGTGCCTTAGATAGGATTGACAGATATGGGAAACCCTTGTTACACAGAATGACCTTATGTAAGCCAACAGGATCTACCCCAATGAAACTCACCTTAAACATAGAACATCCCAGCCCAGGGGACGCTGGAGAGTACGTAATGGGAATGTATTGGAAAGGGGGTGGTTCATCTAACAAGTTAACCTTCTATTTACAAGACATGCTTGGGTAGACTCTACACACATGACGATTAACCCTCTAAAATCACACATTAAAACCCTTAAAGACATGGTAGCCATTGCTAATCCCACGTTTTAAGATACTATGGCTGTAGAGACCGGGTTTACAGATACTAATCTATGGCTTGAGTGGATGAGGTATAATGCTAATTCACATAATAAAACTGTTATGTTTGTGGAGGGGCCAGACCCCATGTGGGTACAGTGCCCTTCAGTCTACCTTCAGATGTTGAAACATGTTTCCTAAGTCTCTATGCGCAGTCACCAACAAACTCATCTGTGTGTGAATCATGGAAAAAGGTATACCCAATAACCCAAGGGAATATCAAGCCACCTGATGGGATCACCGTGTACCCAGGTAACTACACTTGCTACAAGATACATGGAGCCACAGGAAATTTTGTGGGTAAATTCCCTTGTGGCTACTGTACTACATATAGAGAACCTCCCACTGCCCGATTAGTAAATCATGTTAAGTCCGTGGGAGACATATATTGGCTATGCGGTGACATGCAGCTCAGATCTAAAATGACTGGCCTGTGGTGGGGAGAATGCACTCTGACCAAAGCTATCATGCCCATACATATAATTTCTGATAACCACCAAGGCCCACTTGATTCACCACACACATATTTCAGGGTAAAAAGAGAGACCCCTGTTCGAGGTAGTTTCGACCCACATATATATATATATATATATATATATATATCGATGCCATAGGTGTACCAAGGGGGCTACCAAACGAGTTCAAGGCCAGAGATGAGGTTGCGGCAGGATTCGAATCCTTGATCCCACTCATCACCGCTAGCAAGAATGTTAATTGGATCAATTATATTTACTATAATCAGCAACGCTTTGTCAATTACACGAGAGATGCCCTCCAGGGCTTGGCAGAACAGTTACAGACTACATCCCAAATGACATTTCAGAATCGAATGGCCTTAGACATGATACTAGCAGAGAAGGAGGGCGTGTGTAAAATACTTCCCGATACTATGACATGCTGTACCTTCATTCCAGACAATACAGGTCCCAATGGTAAGGTAACTAAGGCCATAGAGAAATTAGAAAGTCTCTCTGATGAATTAACAAAGAACTCGGGAGTCCTCAATTCATGGGACAGATGGTTTGGTTGGATGAGTGGATGGCAGAAACTCTCCTTCAAGTAGGTATGGTGGTTCTTACTGTGGTAATTCTCTTTCTCTTCCTGGGTTGCTGCGTGATGCCCTGTGTGCAGAAATACTTACAGAAGACTGTAGGTCAGACCATTGACTGCACCACACCTACATTCCTACATCAGGATATTGACGATATAGACTGTGACACACCGCACACACCTCTTCAGTCCCACCACCTGAAAGAGACAACTACTTCCTTATAGGGACAGCATAGGGATGGAGTCGGTCTCCACGGGTAGTAGTCTGACGCGGGAGATGTAGTGGGTTAGCCACTCCGTGATACTCGTGCAGTGAAGTGTTCGAGGCCTGTTCAGACAGATGAGCTGCAGCCAAGTAGGGACATTATTAGGGTCAGTTAGTTGTTGTCTCTTTAGTAAATAGTCATTTTAAGGGGAAATGTTGTGGACAAAAATATTAATTCAATTTATGTTAGTAAAATGCCTATTTACTCAGCATACCTACATCAGCATTATTCAACTTTATATGTGATTTACCTAAAATGGCCGCTAGGGAGTTTCCCTTCGACATCGACTAACACCCTCACTAGCAAGATGGCGCTGAAATCTAGGGGACACCTCCAAGATACCAGTGACATCACACACGGTAGGAAGAGCAATAAATGAACCACTTAACACCTAACCAATTATTGATATATTATTTCATGTTATCTCTGACAAAGCATATGATGTAATTTTGCTTTATAAGGGGCATGCCACTCCCTCAGAATAAACATTCCTCAAGTTTTTCATTAACCCGAAACCTGTGTCTGGTGTGAATTATTTTAGGATCGTGCATGCACTACTTCTTTAATTTGGCTGGGGGCAGATACACAAGATAATCAATTGATTGATTGATTCCACATCACTCCTGCATTTGTTATTGGATAGGACACTATATATCTAAAACATTTCAAGAATGCAGGAAAAGCCAACTTGATCCGATAATGGCAATGAGCTGCTTATACCATGAAACCAGGCAAACTGATGCAAGTTGTTTTTATTTATTCTATATTTTTGGAACATTGGAAACTGTCCTATATGCCAGACATGTTCTATGTATATTTTATAAATAATATAAATCTCGATAAAGCCCAGTGGCTAGTACATAGATCTCCCTCACCTGGCCATTGCAGACTTGTATAGCAAGTGGGGGGCCCAAGAGATTCTTAGTGTGCACCCCGTGTAGAGACACGGTAATCCTCCTGCAAGCCCACTCAAGAGTGTTGCCTCAGGTTAGCACAGCAACACTCCAATGCCACATCAAAGAGAGATAGAAGTGTTTGCATCTGATAGAAGTCAGTGTAGAGCCATGGAATACCAATGTCTCCCTAGCCAGAAGTAAGGTTGCATACCTTTTAAAAATAAATAAAATATAATAATAAAAGGAAAAAAACTGTTCCCCTCTCACCCCCTTATAAATCCACACATTGCATACCCAACACTGGATTTCCAATATACACACAAATATATATACTCCATCCCCTACACAAAATTACAATCATTAACTATACACCACAGCCCCTATACACATAAAGGAAAACTATGTTAGAAATCAAAACTGTATTCCTAACACTATATTGTCCATCTGCGTTTGCACCTTTACTGTAACTATGGTAGTTTTTATTTTGTGGTTTGTTTTTTTTCCTTCTTTCTAAATTTCTACTTAAAATATATGGATGTTTCTTATATTATAGGGCATCTTATATTCTTAAATTAAATTGTGTGTGTCCCTGTTCATGATCAGGGCCGGATTGGCCCACCGGGATACCGGGAAATCTTCTGGTGGGCCGCAGCATTTGGGGCTGCGCTCTCACAGCTTCCCTTCATGTCTGAGGGAATTAACATAGGCAGAGAATAAGTAGAGTCCAGTTTCAATTACATTGGGCCACATACACCTCGAGGGTTAGTGCGGCTGTGACACACACAGAGGGGGCCAGCCGCTGGTCACATTTAATATTTACATTGCAGCCAGTGGCTGCATCTTGTGGGGTGGATTGTAGTGTTGCCAGTCCGGTGACAAACTCGACCGTTGGTGGGGACCCAGTAAGTATGAAGGACTTGGTGTATGAAGGACCCAGTAAGTGTGTCCCTCGGCGCTGGGTCGAAGCTCTGCCACCCGAGAGGCGTTTAATGCACATGCGGGGCAAATGACATGTGCGCGTTAGACCTCCCTATAGGAAAGCATTGAATCAATGCTTTCCTTTGGGGAAAATCTGACGCTGGAGGAACTCATGCACAGCGTGAGGAATTCCAGCATCAGATAACGGACCAAAAGTCCGTTACGATTCTGGAAGCACTCCTAGTGGCTGTCCAGTAGACAGCCACTGTGGGCAGACTTAGTGCTGTAATGTAAACATTGCAGTACTCTGGCACTGCAATATTTTACATTGCAGCACTAAGTGCAAAAGGGCCACAGCACCCAGACCACTTCAATGAGCTGAAGTGGCCTGGGTGTCTAGTGTCCCTTTAACCCTGGAAAGGTAACTATTGAAGTTTTTTTTTTTTTTTTTTTAACGCCAGTAATTACCTTTATTAGTTAACTTTGGTCGCCTAACTGACGCTGGACGTCCTCACTCTATGCATGAGGACATCCAGCGTCACCGGAATCCCCATAGGAAAGCATCGAGTAATGCTTTCCTATGGGAAAATCCTAATGTGAGCATGGCCATTGCCATGCATGTGCATTATGTCTTTCCCGCCGGCTGGTGGTTTTTTAACCCCCTTCTACACCGCAGAGGGAGGGGGAATGGAGCGTGACAGCGGGGGAAGCTATAGTGCTAGGAAAACTAGTTTGTTTTCCTGGCACTATAGTTTCCAATTAAGGTGAAAAGAAATCTGAATGGAAGTCTTGAATTAAAGGACCACTCTAGGCACCTAGACCACTTCAGCTTAATGAAGTGGTCTGGGTGCCAGGTCCAGCTAGGTTTAACCCATTTTTTCATAAACATTTTTCATAAATTTTTCAGAGAAACTGCTATGTTTATGAATGGGTTAAGCCTTCCCCTATTTCCTCTAGTGGCTGTCTCATTGACAGCCACTAGAGGCGCTTGCGTGCTTCTCACTGTGATTTTCACAGTGAGAGCACGCCAGCGCCCATAGGAAAGCATTATGAATGCTTTCCTATGTGACCGGCTGAATGCGCGCGCAGCTCTTGCCGCCCGTGCGCATTCAGCCCAGGAGGAGGAATGGAGGAGGATCGGAGGAAGAGAGCTCCCCGCCCAGCGCTGGAAAAAGGTAAGTTTTTACCCCTTTCCCCCTTCCAGAGACGGGCGGGAGGGGGACCCTGAGGGTGGGGGCACCCTCAGGGCACTATAGTGCCAGGAAAAGGAGTATGTTTTCCTGGCACTATAGTGGTCCTTTAATACTCCAACTCCACCATAGCCACATCTTGCCTACCTTTGCCTAAATTCAATAGAACCAGCTGTTTAATGAATTAACCCTCAGTTTTTAATGTAAGTTTTAATTAACATTTTAAACAGACTTGCACATCTCTAATTACTTAGCTTCATGTAAATTAACCTATATACTACTAACAAAATACAGCGTAAAAAAAAAAAAAAAAAAAACACATTTAAATGAATCTTGTTTGCAGGTATTTTTATAGACATCTGAGTTTCACAATCCTCATCATTCAACCCAAAATGTTACTCTTGCATAGCATTCTGGGACTGAAACATGTAGAGGTGCATGTACATATGGTCAACAAACTAGCAAATTTATAGCTTACACTTCTATGTTGTTATTCACGTTTAAGCGTATATTTTCAAAAAGTAAATAAAATTGTAACCACAAAAAAACGACTCAAATATAGATCAAATTTTTTTTTTAATGTGCAGTTATGAATTTTGCATTGTTGATTATTTTTTTTTTTTTAAAAGACACATGAAGCACCATAACTACGACAGTATATAAAAGTACTGCAGCTAGCCAGCTCCTCACAAACTGTACAATTTAAATCTGTTTTCCTTTCTAGCACTGCCTGCTTTTGCTGTGAGTACACAAGGGGACATGCAGTTCTGTTCCCTGCCCAGGTAGGACAGGGCACTCTGACCCAGGCAGGGTACGGATGTGAGCATGTGTACAAAGGAGACTGAACAGCAAATGCAGGCAACTCTGTGCGCACACCTTACAAGCACTTGGACTAATTGGAGAAGCAATGCTTCCCCCTATAGCATAAGTTTGAAGTGTGATGAATGCTGGTCACTGAAGATTTTACTAGAAAGGAAAAAAAGTAAGGCTTTAAAAATATGCATTAAGGGAAAGTGTCTTAGCAACATAACTACAATAGCGCATGAAACGTACTTTCCACTTTTGTTTTCCCCCTACCCAGTAAAAAGCTTGCATTTTATGCATAGATCAAACAATTTTGAATACAAAATTTTTTTTAAAAATAAATAAAAATCTAATCAGTTAAGATACTGAAATTTGCCTAAAAACAAACACTTCTTATAATGCATGTTAGCATTTGAATTTAGTTGTGTTGTGCTCAATTTTATAAAAAAAATGTTTAAAACTTTGAAAAATAAGCTGTAAAACATACTTATAAAACTTTAAGTTAAGAAATACTTCAGGCTTTCAGTGATGCGTATTGACGGGGTGCCTCTCTAGGTTATGTCTAGCTTTCCTTAAGATTTTGTGAGTCATTGAAACCTGTTCAAGAATAAGTCTCATACTGTCCTCCATCTGATTTTCCGAATAAAAACGATTTGTCATCTGAGAGGAAAACTGATTCTGCTCAAATAGATCCATCTTAAGTCTTGCAATTTCCATTCTCAATTTTTCATCCTCACTGACACTGTGTATTTCAGGAACACGTAAAGGTAAGGAAACTCTCCACAAAAGGTTCATTAAACGCATGGCCTCCTCCATAGACTGGGTCGTCCTTCTAATTTTCTCATACATAATGCTCCCAAAATCATCAGCAATGTTTGAAACTGCAGTGTTTACACCATCATCAAACCAGACCTCTATTTCATGTAGCATACCCCTTCCTTCCAGAATCTGTTTCTGCAGAGCATCGTAATCCTCTAGCAAGCCAAGTACATGGCGACCATTTTGGTCTGACCACATACGATATCCAGGAACCAGGCGTGAAGGAGTGTGTGATGACCCATCAGCAGAATAATCACGGAGGTTTTCTCCACTACTGCATTCTTTAATCAAGTGTTCATCTTTCTTATATTGCTCTATCTCGAGATACGCATAATGTAGCTCTTCACTCAGTTTGCGGATTTGGCTCTTGTAATTTTGTAGCTCCTCTTGAATTTTTAAGTTATCTTGTACGTCAGACAAACACTTTGGAGTTTTTTCATGAGAATACATGCATACAGAAGACTTCAGTAGAACCGGAAGTCTGGATTTCTTAGAAAGCTTATTTAAATCATTTTGTTCACCATTTATTTCTTTAGGACTTAACTGGTTGTTCTCTGTATGACTTTCAATTGTCCCAGAATCCACCAATGGATCTGCATCTCCTCTATTTTGATTGTCTGGTGTAGACATTTTATCATTACAAACAGTTTTTTGGGGGCAGCTTTCCATTTGCATATTAAGAGCTGGGAGGACAACGCTTCTCTCTTGCAGGTCTTCAATTTCAACTTGTATGCCTATACTCTTGGTTTGCTTTTCTACATCTTTATCTGAAGAAGGACCATTCACTTTAAAAAAAGTCTCAGTCTGATGAACCACAAGATGTTCTGAGCTGGAGTAATTTTCACCATGTGTGGTGAAGTGTTTATTATCAATATTGCTTTCCCTTATATTTGGTGCTGGATTCTGACAGTCCAATCGTGTTTCTCTATCACTTTCTGCTTTATGAGATTGATCTAAAGTATTTCTGCTTTCCAATATTTTGTGAAACCCTTGATGTACAGTCTGGTTGCTGTTGACTGGACACTGGTTGGAATATCCACCAGTTCCATCGGAGTAGTCTTTCATGGCTCCTTTTGATGTCTTGTCCTGTAACTCAAACATAAGGTCAACATTTTGATTTAGGTGATCAAGGCTTAAATATGTAGTCTGGTCTCCAAGAAATGAAAATGTATCGTTATCTCTACTCTGCGACTTTATCTTTTCTACCAGTATCTTGCTTAGTTCTTGGTTAGCCTTGATATTTTCAATCAGCTGTCTTCGCAACACAGCAATGGCATCAAGATCCTTTTGCAAGTTCCTACACTCTCCCATCGACTTTATGAACTGTGTAAACATTTTCTTTTCTCCTTCAAGGCTAAAAATGAGCTGACTATAATCAGGCTCATCTTCACATTCATTGTTTTTACTGGTGTCCAAACATTCTTGTTTTTCTGGAGGATTTCCTTCAGAATTCGCCGGAGAAGGTTTGATGGACAGCTGCGTCTTGAGTTGAGTGATTAAAGCATCTTTAGAATCCAGAGTTTCATTCAAATGTTCAATTGTCCAATCTTTTTCCGCCAATATGGCTGCTGTTTTTGAGTACTGTTCTTCGACTGCTGAAAGTCTATTTTCTGTGTCAAACCTTTGGGTTCTTTCCTGGTCCAGCAAGGCGCCAATTTTATCAACTTCCGCGTTTTTTGTCTCAAGCTCCTTTTCAAGATCTTGAATCTTCTGGAATAACAAGTCATGACCTTGCTCAACTTCAACTTTCTTTAGCTGAATTTTACCCACATCCCCGGTTAGACTTTCCACCGCTTTTGACGCTTTCAAAAGTAATTTTTGCTTTTCTTGAAGGTCGTGTTTCAGGCTTTCCACCTCGACTTTCAGCTCGATGTTGGTCCGATGCAGTTCCTCGCTGCTGCCCTCGCAGTTTTTCTGGATCTGCTCCTCCAGGAAATAAATGCGAAGCTTCAGGTTGAAGTTCTCTTTCTTCAGCTCGGTGATTTGCTTTTCAAAGTCCTTCATGGTGGGATCTGGGCTCATGGGATGGTGCTTGTCTCTGCCCAGTCCTGCAGAGTAGTGATAGTAATATCCCAGGCCGGGCCCTGGGCTCCCAGGCAGGGTCTGATCTATGGTTTTGTCCGAGCAGTCACCATGCTCCTCAGGATCCATTTCCAGCTGCAGTTTTACGAGTCCCCCTTTCTGAGGTAAAGTCACTCGGCCGCCATGATGGCCGCGGGCCTGACTGGACTCCTTAATTTGGGGTAGGCGAGCTGGAGGGGGACCGGGCGGGTGGCAGGCCGGACATACACGGTCGGGGGCGGTAGGTGAGGGTCTGGGGTGGGGAGAGTGTTTCTCAGAGCCCTCTGGCTCGTCCTCGGGAGGCGGGAAAATCGCGGTGACGTCACGGGGAGGCGGGAGCGCGCGCTTTTTGGAATTGGACGAAAACTTGTTTCTGAGGTAAAGTGCGGCCGCCATTACACCGAGCCGGGGCCGCCATTAGCCGGTTATTATACACCGAGCCGGACCGCCATTAGCCGGTTATTATACACCGGGCCGGACCGTCATTAGCCGGTTATTATACACCGGGCCGGGCCGCCATTAGCCGGTTATTATACACCGAGCCGTTATATCCCACACGGACCCGCAGCCGCCAGTAACCGGCCGATATACCGACTCCCGCCGCCATGTCCGACCTGCTGCCCGGCTACTCGCCCAGCTTTAAGAAGCCCTCGGAGATCCTGCGGCTGAGCCGGAAGCGGAGCCGGAGCGAGGCCGGGGGCAGAGCCCCTTTCTCCCCGGGAGAAGCCGCCAAGCGGGTCCCCGGGCTCCGGCCCTTCACCCCGGGCCCCCAGCGCAGCGGCGGCGGCGGAGCGAAGCGGAGGAACCCGTTCGCCAGTCTGGAGAATACCGTGTGCAGCCCGGTGAAACGGCGGGCGGAGAGCCTGGACGGGACCGGCCCGGAGAGAGAACCGACACCGGGCAAGGGGCCCCCCGCAGCCGCCATCATCCCGAGACTGCCCGACAGCTGGGAGAACCCGGCCGCCAATACAGCGCAGGTAGGAGAGCGGCGAACCGGCAGCTAACGGGTTAACCTCACCGGCCAAACCGCAAGGGGTTAATATACTTTACTGACAAGGGAAGGTTTGAGTGACAGAACGTCGGCCAATCAGAGCGCAGTACGTCACAGGGTCCTGCCCTCCTATTGGTCGCGGCGTTAGATGACGGTCAGGAAGTGGAGCTGCCATTGGCTGCTCTGTGTTTACATTCCCCGCCCCCCGGCGTGCAGCCAGGTGGCTCTCTGTCACAGGGCTCATTCACTAAAGTGAGAATTCACAGTGACTCACCATGGAGCATGGCTGCCATAGATAATTTATACAAATAGGATATTTTGGCCTTAAAATCCTAATTCACTTTGAATTCTCACTTTAGATCAGGACCTCCAGATGTTGCTGAACTACAACTACAACCATTATTCTATGAATGAAATAGGCTGAGAATCATGGGAGTTGTAGTTTGGCAACATCTGGAGGGCCGGAGTTTGGGGAAGCCTGATTTAATGGATAACTCAGTTATTATTCTGAATGTTGAGGGACTGTAAAGTGCCAGCTACAATATTATATGACAGCGTAATAACAAGGACAGAAGATTAAGCATTTATTTGTAACTGGAGCATAATTGGAAAATATATAATGTATAGACTGCTGGTGGCCTGGAGGATCCGCTGTGGGGCTACTTATCTAGCACAAATGCCATAGTAACTCTATAACACCTCTGCTGTAGGAAATGGTTACAAATTTAAAAAATAAAATTTCAATGTGTTCCTTCTGATAAATTGGTCTAGTTGTATTATGTACCTTTAATTAATGCTTTCAGTATTATGGCTTTCACGACATGACGTTGTGAAGCACCCATAAGTTGTATAATACAAGTGACTGCAATAGTACTGTATACCTCCCATCTGAATCATGCATAAATTACTGCGCAGGTCACACTGCATTCAGCCCATAGACACAGCTCTGTAAATGCTACTCTCAATGTGGTGTTTGCGCTCAGTGTGCTGGCAGCTTGGAATGCATTCTTGGCAGGTTTACATGGCTCTTTTTTTCAAGTGGGCCTACCCCTTTGTGTGTAATCAATAATGCGTCAATGGCGTACCTCTTATAAATATTTCTCACCACCCAGGCACTGTTCCGTACCCACCAGTGTTTGGAGGTGTGAATTTCTTATGTGCTCTGATGGCAGTTTGTAGCCGCTTCAAAACCAGTGCATGTAATGGAGCTGGTTTTCCCACAGTTCCATATATGCTGCGTTTATTGAATGGCTTATTTCTTCTTACAATGATTATATTCTCATTTTAAACTTTAGTCAAACCAAACCGTTGTCCAACATTTAAACTTTTGCATACATAAAGGAACACCTTTTCTATTTGGTTTCATTTATTTTTGCTAACCTTTTTGATTTTCAGTTTAATACAGTTGACGATATCCTTTTTGAAGATAGTCTTGGAGTTGAGACTGCTGCAACTACAAAGGCACAGGTAAGTAAGTTATAATCCCCTCATACCCAACTCTCTTTCTTAAGTCTCCCTAAAGTATTTTATTTTTTTCTATTCATCTCTTTTTAACAAACTTTTTCAGTTGATTGATGCGACTGATCTTTTGCAAATCCACCACTCATAATAGGCCTTCCCCATAGGAAAGCATTGACTCTGCTTTCCTTTGGGGTTTTCAGCTTACTGCATGTCCTCATGCAAAGCTTGAGATGTCCAGCATCGTTTCACGAAGTCAGAAACTGCAGGAAGCGCCTCTAGTGGCCAGCCAACTAGAGGCATTCTTAACAGTGCAGTTTTTCTAAAACTGTGATGTTTTACATTGCCGAGTTATGGGAACAGGGACACTGCACGCAGACCACTTCAATTAGATGAAGTGGTCTGGGTGCCTATAGTGTCCCTTTAAATAACTTTTTATTTATGAATTTGCTAGCACAACATATAAGAGAAATTATTATATTTTAAGTGACTGATGCCAAGTTATGTTGTTCATGACAGCTTTTCTATGTTAAAGTAAGGTGGTCATATACTTTGGCTATTTTGCAACACATGTTGATAGATACTTCTTAAACTGATCAATATTTGGACAGACTCTTAAAAAACAAACAAACATTTTTTGTATCTTTCATAATGAAATGTAGAGATTATGCTGTTTTGTTTTTGTTGTGGCTAATGGGACACTATAGTCACCAGAACAACTACAGCTTATTGAATTTGTTCTAGTGAGTAGAATCATTACCTTCAGGCTTTTGCTGTAAACACTGTCTTTTCAGAGAAAATGCAGTGTTTACATTACAGCCTAGTGATAACTTCACTGGCCACTCCTTAGATGACTGTTAGAGATCCTTCCTGGGTCATGGCTGCCTTAAATGCATCCAAACATTCAGTATCTCCTCCCTCTGCATGCAGACACTGCACTTTCCTCATAGAGATTAATTGATTCAATTCATCTCAATGAGGAGATGCTGATTGGCCAGGGCTGTGTTTGAATCATGCTGGCTCTGCCCCTGATCTGCCTCTTTGTCACTCTCAGCCAGTCCTATGGGTAAGCATTGTGATTGGATCAGGTTACCACTTCTCATGATGTCACCACACTGCTTGTTTTTTTTGTTTTTATTTAAAGGTAAACGGCATGCAGAGTTACAGCTTCTGGCTTGAATATAGTAAGATTTTGCTATATTTATAGAGGCATGAGGGGCCCAGGGGGGCTAGATGGTGGTGTTAACACTATAGGGTCAGAAATACATGTTTGTGTTCCTTACCCTATCGTGATCATTTAATGACTGATAGGCAATTCAAGACAATTGCAAGTAGCTCTCAAAGGAAGTTACAACCTCTAAATATCCTAATCTTGTCCTCATGTTTCAGAGTAAGAGTAATTTGTAAAAGTTATCATTTTGCTATGTAATAGGAAATCAGACTGGAGTAAATTTAATTTTTGTTGTGTTTTTTTGTTTATCTGTATATAGTCACCAGAGAAACCAGTGACCATATATGAACAACCTAAGGGATCTGTTACATTTCCTGCCGATTGGAGTTTAAAGACCCGGTTACTTTTTACCTCTTCCCAATCATTTTCTTGGACTGATCATTTAAAGGCCCAGGAAGAAGCACAGGGGTTTGTCTTGCATTGTCATGCCACTCCAATCAGGTTGCCACAAATTATTCAGGCAAGTTTTGTTTCCAGAACACTGAGAACTTTCTTGACTTATTGTGATGGTCTGTGACCAGTTACGAGACAGAATATGATATTTAGGCTTAAATAGCCAATCTTTGACCTAGATTGAAGGCCTATGTTTACCTCTTCATGATGACCTCCATACAGAGGCTACTATGAAAGGCTCTGAAAGCATGGAGAGACAAGGCTATTGCTTGATGCGCCAATAGTGAGATAATATATAAATAGTGATATGAAGGTCCCACTCAAGAAATTGCTGGAACTGCCATCTCCTGTGGTTGCTATGCCTATCATTGTGAGCTAGCTAGGGGACCTCCATTAAAATCGTTCACACTGTGATTGCTGCAGTTGTGAGACTGTCAAGAAACAGCCTGAATGCCTGCTGCACACCGTTTGACACAGAAGTCCTATGTTGTGTTTGACCAGTTGTCCGTTCTGTATGTAAATGTATTTAACGTTTTGTATTTTTACGTTTTAGGAACCAAAGTTATCCACTGAGCTGCGCTGTGCTTTTCAACAAAGTCTTGTCTATTGGCAGCATCCTTCTCTTCCTTGGCTCCAGCTTTTTCCTCGCATTGGAGCAGATCGGAAAATAGCTGGAAAAAACATCCCTTGGTCTCAAGATGATGCGTTGCAACAAGTTTTAATGAGTGAATGGTAAGAAACATGATTTAATTTTGTTAGATTTTTAACTATGGAACATTCTTTTTATTATAAACATTCTTTGTGGAGGCAAGTTATTTGCATCCAGTTAAAATTCCATAGGTTCTTGCAATGAGAGAATGAATATATCCCCTAGTCTTCAGTCGTTTAAGAAGTGCCTTAAAACCCATCTCTTTAGAAAAGCTTATGGCCTCCCAGAGTAACCTCTACGTCACATACCAGTGTCTTGCGCTCTTCTAAAGGGCAGCACTCTCCTCCATCCCTGCTTCACTCCCACTTTATTTGATTGACATTTCCTGCCCTAATGTGTTTTCTACCCCACCTCCTATAGACTGTAATCTCGTTTTGAACAGGGTCCTCTTCAACCTATTGTTCCTGTAAGTTTTCTTGTAATTGTCCTATTTATAGTTAATTCCCCCCTCTCATAATATTGTAAAGCGCTACGGAATCTGTTGGCGATATATAAATGGCAATAATAATTATATAGGTTAGTTTACATTGCAATATCACAACACTTACAAATTGTTTACAGTACTGAATCTTTTAGGCAGACACTATTATTCCTTTTTTTTTTTTTGCAGGGCTCTCAGCTTTACATCCCTATATAATTTGCTAAAAGCAAAGTTATGTCCATACTTCTATTTATGCACCTATCAGTTCACAGTGTTATTTCGGGCAGCCGGCCTTGCTGGTAGCGATGTAATTACTGCCATCATGTCTCCATCTACACGAGGATTGCGAGAAGCAATGAAAAATGAAGGTGATTTCTTGTTTCTTTTGTATATAACCTTTCCTTTTCACCTTGTAATTTAACAATCATAGCTTTAATGTTGGGAAGTATTTGATCCGTTACGATTTAAAGGGACACTATAGTCACCAGAAAAACCACAACTTAATGTAGTTGTTCTAGTGTCTATAGAATGTCCGTGCAGGTTTTTCAATGTAAACTCTGACATTTCAGAAAGAACTGCCTAGGAGCACCTCTAGTGGCAGTCAGAAATTAATACATCTTTATGAGGCGATGCTGATTGATGCAGCACTGCGTCTTGCAGCGCATGTGCTATAGCCAATAGGAAAGCATTGGATTGGCTGAGATCAAGTTTGGTGACCTCAACCAAGGGGGCAGAGCATGGGTGGAGCAAGTCAAGACAGACACGTACCTCGCTAGAAGTAAATCACCTTTTTACCTAGTTAAAAGGGGACCGGTAACCTAACCAGTGATTTTACAACTATAGTGACCGAAATACATGTTTGTATTCTTGTCACAATAATGTTTCTTGTATTTTTATGGTTGGTTTGTTTTTTGCAGGGGGGGAAGGGGAGGGAGTTGTTGGAATTGCATTTAATTAATATATATATTTTTTCCCTTTACTAATCCAAAACAAATAATCCTGGTACCTTTTAACAAACATGGCTACCATAAGCATATACAGACAGTGCCTAATATTCTATACTGTTTCAATTCTAGATAAGATTATTTTTGCTGCATTTTTAAAGGAACACTGAAGTCACCAAGACCACATCAGCTCATTGAAGTGGTCTGGGTACCAACTCCCATCACCCTTAACCCTGCAAGTGTAAATATTGCAGTTTTTATAAACTGCATTATTTACCTTGCAGGGTTAAGTCCTCCTCTAGTGGCTTCCGGCTTCTTAGGTGACTTTTGGTCACTAAACGACACTGGACGTCCTCATTCTATGCATGAGGACCTCCAGCGTCGCCAGAATCACCATAGCAAAGCAATAAATAATGCTTTCCAATTGGGAGGTGTAATGTGCATGCGTGCGCTCGCTGCTAAATGCTGCACATACGCTTTAGATCTCCCCCACAGGCGGAGGAGGAGCGGGGGTTGAGCCTGACCCAGCGCCGAGGGACATCGGCGTTGTATTCAGTTAAGTGCCTGAAGGGGTTTTAACCCCTTTAGTGACGTGGGATTGGGGGGGCGGAAGGGAGAAAGGCACTCCATGATTCTCTAGTGTTGGTTTAAGGAAACTGAAATCTTGCCTCCAATTATCAGGTCAAACCTGGTTTTGTAATCTCCTTTGATTCACGTCACAAATCTCAGAAGCTAACTTAATTATTTCTCTAGGAATTGAGTTCTCTTTGCCATTAGTTGAAGATGAATCTAACCGGAAGCAAAATAACTCTGAACCGAGCTCACAACAAGACGACCAGGAACCCGACTCCTTAAAGACTGGTGATGAGTATGTCAACGTTTCCTATATGTTATGAGCACAATCTAACATCCCTTAACAGGCTGAGGTTTATTTTATTTGTGGTCCAGCAAAGGAGTACAAATGTCATCGTTTCATGACAGGTTCACTTTAACTGAACCCCCTTCAGTTTTAGCACTTTCATTTAATTGACTCCAAGCACTGTAGAGTTTATGGTGTCAGGAATACATCCTCTGCAGTTTCCTCTCTTGCAAGAAGCTCTCCCTTTTTTTTTTTTTTCTTTAAGCACCAAACCAATTGGCTTAATGAAGCACCCACCTCAGAGCCTGGTCATTGTACAACATTATTATTAAGGCCTCTTGTCGGGTCTAGAGACATTAATCTCCTGTTCCAGTTTGTCCTCAGTACAGGAATTTTGCAAAATATACTTCAATAATTAGTGGTGAGCAAGCCACAGTTGCCTAATCCTTTTTCTAAATATATGTGGTAAATTTTGAAGAGCTCTCAAAATAGATTAGGAGCAAAAATATTTGTGCCTCAGACATTTTATTATATTTATTTTATAGGTCTTGTGACAGCGAAGAAGATGAAAGTTTTTCTTGGTTGGAAGAGATGGGCGTTGAAGATCAGATAAAAAAGCCAGATGCAATCTCAATTAAACTGTATCCTTATTTTAGCAGAGGGAATAATTACATTGACATCTGTCATTTATCTTCTTTCTACATTCTAGACATTGTTAATTTGAACAGCTTAACAAATTTGGAACCGAACATTAGGTGTTAAATCATAGCCCATTGTATTAAGGACCTTCCATGTAGTGCTGGGCAGAGAACCGTCACCTGGAGGGAATTCAAACCATTAGTATAAGAGGGACCCCTAGTGTCCTTTTAATATACACTTACTTATGTATATTCCTTTCACTTACACCTAGAGTTGCAAATGGGTAGCCTTTTCTTTTAAAGGACCACTATAGTGCCAGGAAAACATACTCGTTTTCCTGGCACTATAGTGCCCTGAGGGTGCCCCCACCCTCAGGGACCCCCTCCCGCCCGGCTCTGGAAGGGGAAAGGGGTAAAAACTTACCTTTTTCCAGCGCTGGGCGGAGAGCTCTCCTCCTTCTCTCCTCCTCCATTCCTCCTCCTGGGCTGAATGCGCACGCGCGGCAAGAGCTGCGCGCGCATTCAGCCGTCGCATAGGAAAGCATTTACAATGCTTTCCTATGGACGCTGGCGTGCTCTCACTGTGAAAATCACAGTGAGAAGCACGCAAGCGCCTCTAGTGGCTGTCAATGAGACAGCCACTAGAGGATTAGGGGGAAGGCTTAACCCATTCATAATTATAGCAGTTTCTCTGAAACTGCTATAATTATGAAAAAATGGGTTAACCCTAGAAGGACCTGGCACCCAGACCACTTCATTAAGCTGAAGTGGTCTGGGTGCCTAGAGTGGTCCTTTAAAGTGTAATTCTTATGGACTAGGTCATGTTATAATATTTTTTGTCTTACTTGGCATGCTATATTGGACAGATTAAAGCATGCACCCCAATCTATAAAAAAATAAAATTATTTACATTGTTATTAAAGGGAATTGTAATCCCCCACTGAAATTTCAACCCAATCAAGAGATAGAGACGAGGTAGGGATTACTTTGAAATTGTCCAGAAATCTAGAGACAAAGTCCCCAGACTATGACAATGCTGCTTTAAATTATAGGCCATGCATTTGTTTTTTTTGCTCTGTGTGAGATTATGCAGTTTATAATAAGACCTTTTGTAGTTAAGTTGATTTATTTTTGTGCTTTCTCATTTTGTTAGTGGAATTAAACGACTTTAGAGGAATATTATAGTGTTCTAATTTATCCATACCAACAAGCTTGCAATGCCAGCATGTTGCAGTATCCTGGCAGAATATGCATCACGTTTTGCCTTCAACATTTTGTTTACCTTAATATTGACATAACTAGTCGCAAAGAGAAGAATGAAGTAAAACTGGATCATAAGCCAGAATCTGTTGTCTTGGTAAAAGGGTCAAACACCTTTACTCTATTAAACTTTTTAATAAACTGCAAGAGCTTAGTGGCTGCAGCAGGTCCTCAGGCTGGCTTACCTCCGACCCTGCTCTCACCAATAGCATTCCGAGGAGCTACTATGCAGACACTAAAGGTAGTGCTAATGAATGTTTCATTTTCATCTAATATATTTTTTTAATATTCTATATGGTTTTGTGTTTATAATAGTAGAAATGCTTAAAGTCTCAGTGTACACATTGTTGTAAGCATGCTGTGATGGTAAAGTGTCGTAAAAATGCATATATTTAACATACAGGAAGCCAAAACCACACCATACATTGTCAAAGCCAGATATGAGCAGTGAGCAATTTGAGATAATAGACGTCTGATGCAGTGACCAGCTTTATAGAACTAAAAGTTTTACATGCAGTGTGTCTTTAGTATTCAAAAGGATCAGTCAAGTGCGTAGCTTTTACTTAAACCAGACGTGTCTCCATCTTTGTTTTCAAAACTAGGAGGGCTACGTTGATATTTAACACGTACACAGAAACCCAAAACGGCAAGTGTTTAACAGATGCAGTGACTTCATTCCCTCCTACTGTGTGAATATATTCTGTTTCAAGTGATGCATAAGTGTAAATAAGCATCATAGAATAATGGTCAGCAATTAGAATCTTCAGGTCTTCTGTTTTGTTTGTTTTTGTTTACTAAGAGTGTCTAATAACAGAGTAAAAACCAGTAAATGGCAGTCTACAAATGTTACTTTTTTTTAAGTTATTTGCATGCTGACAGATATTCTTTGTTGGAAAAGAAAGAACTTTATTATTCCTCATAACTCAATTAACTTTTTGCCTTTTTGTTTTTTCTTTATAGACCAGGAGCATAAATGTGAAAACCCAGGTGCTTTCTGGCTACAAGGATCAATTTAGTTTGGAAATAAGTGGCCCTATCATGCCTCATTCTCTGCATTCATTAACAGTGTTGCTGAAATCGTCTCAAAAGGGTTCGTTTTCTTCTGGCTTGTATACTCATGAGCCAACTGCAGTGTTCAATACAGAAATCCATCCTAAGCTTGTAAAGGTGAGCTGGACTGCTTTTAGGTTATAGTGCTAGGAGGCTAGAAGTGAAATCTTTTATTTTCTTACCCAAAGCGCTGCCTCTCAGCTGGAGAGAGACATAATGATTGCATCAAAGATTTGTATAGCATGCAATAAGTTAACACTAAGGTAGAGGAGGAATCTGCCATGGTACCCTTTCACAATGGAAGATCTAGTGTTAAAAGAAAGTGGTGGCATCTGGTCCCCTAACCATCTGATGGGTGAATTTTGGGTGTTGGAAACAGGAAACTTTACATGGTTCCCTACCTGATTGGGCCAGAAGTCTTGGCCACCTAAAGCAAGTTAAACCAAAGACAAAAAGTAAAGTTACGTGCACACTATTCCAAATACCTATGCATATTTATATAAATGGAGGTTTTTGGTTCCACTCCAATGGCCATTAGATGTGCCCCCCTGCCACATCAAGGCAAACCTCTTAGGTGGGTCCTACATTAACAATTAACCTTGTGTGCTTCAGCTTAAGGCAAAGAAAATCTCAGGCAGAGAGAGTTATTTTTCTAAACCCTTATATATGTATTAACCATTAACAGCGTGGATGGGCGGCAGAACTGTAACACAGCTGTGTGATACAAATACACAAAAATAAGTCCTGCGCTACTCCTGGTTTGGGAGTTTAAGAGCAGGACTTATTTTTATGTATTTGTATTTACTTAAAGCAAGTTAGTCTATCCTCATACTTTACAGCTTAGGAAACTTTTGGAGATAGCTAGAAGAGGTTACAAGAAATTTAAAAGCAGAAATTTAGGGCTTATCTGGCCGTTATCTGTGTTACATAGGCTTTTATGGGGAACCTGAATAATAAAGCGGCATGAACACACTTTGACTGTTTAATCAGTTATCTACACAAACTGCTTAAAGGGGCACTCTACTGCCCAAATTTTTTTTAAAAACCCACTATTTAGTAGATATACCCACAATGAAATTGTGCATGGATTTAATTATGCATTTTTTTTTTTTCATTTGGGGCATATCTAAAATCAGCTGGCAAAATCTGCAGAGCTCCTGTCTGAAGCCTTTGCAAGCCCTCCCTTTCTAACCCAACCAGACTTTGAAGCTGTCCAATCACACACTTACAATACAGCTCAATGAGAAGTCTTTGCACGGCAGATGCTCTGGGCAATTGATGTCTCTTGAGTTTAGCTCCACTGAGCTAACCAAACCAGGAAGTAACAAGGCTTGTACTTTCAATTTGTACTGAAATCTGCACTTTTTGTACTATAGAAAAAGGACATACTAGTCACACTTAAAACACTTCAGCAAGCTAAAGTGTTTCCCTAAAGCCTGTAATCTGACTTTTTTTTTTTTTTAGGGGTTTGCAAAGTGAAGTAATTTTTCATTTTTGAGAATAATTGAATCTAATATTTTTAGTGCACTTTCTTTTAAAGTGGGCTGGATGCACTGGCCCTGCTATTTCAACTCTTCAATGTAAAACATTGCTGTTTTTTGTAGAAATTGTCTGACACTTTCTGGCTGGCCCCACTCAGGACAGCTAATTCTCAGAGCACTGTTAAAGCATTCTGATCACGGTTAACATCCCTGGTGATAATCTTCTTCTAATTTAAAGCATTGTGGAATAAGGTGGAGCTATATAAATACCAATTATAATAATGCATTCACTCGACACTAATTGAGATTTCATAATTTGGATAGAGATGGTGGCCTGTATTTGTGACAATCCTGCCAAACCAAGACATGTGGGAACTATGAATAAGTACCTTTTAAATATGGATCACACATCTATTCACCAGGGTGAATTACTTAAATTTCCTATGCGACTAGCCAGGGCCAAAATTTCAAAGTGTAGTGGCAAGTGGAAACTTTGAGCCTTGTTGTCATTATTTACTGCTAGAAGCATAGGTAATACCATTTTATATCACTTTAATGTATTTTAAATTACATTATAAAACTTTCTTAAATAATTGTTCCGCCTTTTGCATATGTGATGCTTTTGTAAAAATAAAATGCCCAGGCCACTCTCTACATAGTGAAAATGTGTATCTGTTTTGACATATCATTGTCTGCCTACTGTACATTCCGCAGCTATGTGTCTGCATTTATTCTTATGCTTACACCTGTCTTTATTTGCTTGTTTCACAGGAGAACATTTCTTCTGACCTTATAAACTGTGGCCTGCAACCATCCACACTGGAACAGCTGTCTCAGCTCTGCCAACTGGGGAAGTCGTCCTTACGCCACCTAGAAATGTCAGACTACACGTACACCTGGAAATGCTAGTCACAGGACAAATCCTGCAAATTTAGTCTCTCCATAAAGCACTCTTTGCAGTGTTAGTCTCAAAACAGACTGCTACTCTCTGCCAAAATACACAGACAATGGTGTGGTCCATTTAGTAAATTAATGCTGTGAAAGGAATACACTGATGAATGACTTTTAAATCTTCTAAACATATGCATTTCTTGTCGATTAGATTGCACTATGAGGAACCAGGAATTGTTCACTAGGAAAGACAGCCAGTGTCCAAACAATGGCTCATCTACTAAAAACAAATTACATGTTCTTTACAAAGCTATTACCTCTGCAAAATATAAACACTATTTCTCGTGCTCACATTAAAAAAAAAAAGTGCCCCAGAGTCACTTAAAAAGTCTGTAGTATTGTTATATTTTGATGAATTGCATTTCGGGAAGAATCATGGTTCGTTAGAGAAATTGTATACATTTTGCCTTCACTGCCTTTATGATAAAAGTATTAAATTAATTCCCTTTTTAAAAAGAAAAAGTTAAAATAGAGTATCTAGTTGGCAATTAACCTAGACCAAACAAGGCCATGCATCCTTAAGGTTGTGTGATATTGTTATGAATGAAACTGATCAACCTTCCCCCTCCTCCAATAACCCCAGTACTAGTAAAAATGCACTACTACTATTCTAGGCTCTAAGAAAATCACTATCCTTAATATGCTAGGAGTCACTGCCTCCTGGGTTCTCTACAAAGTGTTCATTGATATGCTGCAAATTTCGTAAAAACTAGCCATGTAAAGTATTTTGTGTCTTGGTTTTATTTTTTAAATTGTGTGTGATTGTAATAATTGTGAATAAATACAAACCTCTTTATTAATCAGATTGTCCTGAAGGTGGTTGTGAATGAAAGGTGCACAGGAAATACGCTTTGCTATATTGGTATACTAGCTAACACTGTATATGCCATTATACGCCCTATGCCCAGATATGATACACACGGAGCATAAATTGTCAGATTATGATGTACTGGCCAATAGAACAAAAGTGGGAGACCTGTTCTAGTCTAAGCGATACCTTAATGTTTAGATATCTTACAGTATACATTTAGTACTGCTTCCTCTTCTTTCCAACTATCATGTTACATAACAAATAGCACATCTTCTACTCTCCAGAGACCAGTATTCTAGTAATTTTAGAGTGTCAGCGATTTGAGTACTACTACTGTATACATGAAGGCATCTGGTGTCTATGGAGTGGATAATGTGAGCAGAACACCGCTCTTGTCAAATGTTTACTATGGAAATCCACCAGTAAGGCACAATATTGATAGCATGGTAATGATACAGAGCTTACACTCCTTTTCCTTATCTGTTTTTGATCAGCTGCTGACAGTTGGTTTGACAGTAGTGAGTGTTGGCTGTGTGGGACACAGCTGTTTATCTGGACAAGTTATAAGTAAAATAAAAAAACACAGATGATGTAGTTGGAATTCTGCAGCCACACGGTCAAGCAGGCTGTCTTAAAGTCTGACCAATCAGATATTTCCAATTTGTACCAGTTTCGAATGATGCAATCCTTACAGTCCTTCAAAGTTTGACATAACCCTTCAATTCTCTGTATTTCAATGCCTTCCATTTTACAAACTGGTTACAATTCCATGATGCATAACACAGTATACACCTTTTCTTATTGCATTATTCCTCCCTCATGCTTGAGCAGAACATCCAGATCTACTGTGGTCACCTGAGTGTTGGTAGAGTGTTAAACTTAGCCCCTAAAAGCCATCACCAAAGCAACCAGGGCCACTCTCAAGATCTGCTCAAAGGAAGCTTCTTGTTTCAATCTTATTAATATTCTATGTTGCTTTGTTAAATGTGGAAACCAACCCTGGTCCAGCATCTACTACAAATGTTACCCACTCAATTAGTAAAGACCTCTCTCTCATCTGTCCACTGCATTATAAGTAGTCTGCAGATCGAAAGTATGCTGATGAAAGTCCCCAAAGAGTAACTGCAATCTGACCCTCCAGTGGCCATCACTCAAAACAACCACAAGAACAGTTGACACTCGCTTTCTTATCACAGAGTTTTGAGTCCTCTTGGTTTCCAAAGAAAATATATCCATATTATTATTATTGCCATTTAAATAGCGCCAACAGATTCCGTAGCGCTTTACAATATTATTAAAGGGGGGATTTAACTATAAATAGGACAATTACAAGAAAACTTACAGGAACAATAGGTTGAAGAGGACCCTGTTCAAACAAGCTTACAGTCTATATGTGGTGGGGTATAAAACACATTAGGAAAGGAAATAGCAATCAAATAAGGTGGGAGTGAAGCAGGGCTGGAGGAGAGAGTAAAGTGCTGCCGTTTAGGAGAGAGCAAGAGACCGGTATGTAAGGAAGAGGTTACTCTGGGAGGCTATAAGCTTTCCTAAAGAGATGGGTTTTAAGGCACTTCTTAAACAGTTGAAGACTACGGGAAAGTCTGCCGCCCTCGAGAAGTCTTGAAGCAGCGGACAGGAGGTCACGGGCAGAGCATGGAGACCTAGAAGGGACATACTTATGGATCTGTGAAGAGATATAAGAGGGGCTAGAATTGTTCAGTGCTTTATAGGTATGGGTTAGCACTTTGAATTGACTCCTATAGGACACAGGAAGCCAATGTAAGGAATGAGAGGGGTGAGGTGTGACCGACTAGAGAAGAAAATCAGTCTAGAAGAAAATTACAGACTGTAGTGGGGCAATACGGCTTTTGGGAAGACCAATTAGGAGAGTGGTACAATAATTAATGTGGGAAATAACTAGAGCATGGAAAGCTCCTTGGTAGCATCTTGCATAAGAAAGGGGCGCATGCGGGCTCTGTTTTTAAGATGGAATCTACAGGATTTGGCAACATACTGGATGTGAGGCTCTAAGGTGAGGCCAGAATAAAGTATGACGCCAAGACAATGCGCTTGCAAGGATGGACTTATGTGGATAACACTAACTTGAAGGGAGAGCGAAAGAGGAGGATCAGTATTAGGAGGAGGAAAGACAAGGAGCTCAGTTTTAGAGAGATTTAGTTTTAGAAATCGGGAGGACATCCAGTTAGAGATGAAAGAAAGGCAATCAGTGACACTTTGCAGGACGGCAGGGGAGAGGGCTAGGAAGGAGAGATATATCTGGGTGTCATCAGCGTACAGGTGGTAGTGGAATCCAAATGAGGTAATAAGTTTTCCAAGAGAGGCCGTACAAAGAGAAAATAGAAGAAGACCAAGGACAGAGCCTTGAGGGACTCCAACCGAGACAGGAAGAGGGTAGGAGGTATCATTAGAAAAGGAGACACTGAATGAGCACTGGGAGAGATAAAAGGAAAACCATGAGAGGACAGAGTCACAGAGACCGAGTGATTGAAGAGTTTGAAGAAGGAGAGCATGATCAAAGGTGTAAAAGGCAGCAGAGAGGTCAAGAAGAATTAGTATGGAGTAGTGGCCTTTGGATTTAGCTGTGATTAGGTCGTTAGTAATTTTGATAAGAGCAGTCTCAGTAGAGTGGAGAGGGCAGAAGCCAGATTGAAGAGGGTCAAGGAGAGAGTTGGAATTGAGACATATGGGTAAAGACAAGTGTTTCCAGAAGCTTTGGGGGAAAAGGGAGCAGTAATATCGGACGATAGTTCGAGGGGTAGGACGGGTCAAGAGATTTTTTTTCAGGATAGGTACTACAGTGGCATGTTTAAAGTAGGGACAATGCCAGAAGAGAGAAAGCAGTTGAAGATGTGTGTTAAGGAAGGCACAAGACAGGGGGAGAGAGATCTGATAAGGTGAGATGGGACAGAATCGAGCGGGCAAGTGGTAGGGCGAGAGGAAAAGAGAAGTGCAGCCACCTCTTGTTCAGTAGCCGGGAAGAAAGTCTGAAGGGGAGAAAAGGCATGATCTACGTGTGGTTGAGAATGGGCAAGGTGGGGAAAATTCTTTCCTTAGCTGTTCAATCTGGTCGGTAAAGGGGCATGCAAAGCTATCGGCTTTAAGGTTAGTTTGGGGAGTGGCCACAGCAGGGCGAAGAAGAGAGTTAAAGGTGTCAAAGAGACGCCTGAGATTGCGGGAGTATGAATGAATGAGAGAGAAAAGGTATGACTGTTTGGCGAGGGCGAGGGCTGCGCTGTATGAACACAATATGAATCTATAATGGAGATAGTCTGCTGGGTGCGAGACTTCCTCCAGGAGTGTTCAGCAAAATGGGAGCATCTTTGCAGGTAGCATGTTGATTTAGTATGCCACAGTTGGGGGCGTGTCCTTCTCGAGGTGCATGTTTGGAGCAGGACTGCAGCATTCAAAGGTGAGGGTAGTGTTATATGTGCAGATGGCCAGTGAGGGACAGGAGAGGGAAGGGATGGTTAGCATTTGTGAATCAATATCAGCTGACAGCTGCTGGAGGTCAATAGAATGAAGGTTCCTCCTGAGTTGAGGGGGGTTAGGCTGAGGTTGTTTTGTGAGGGGGTACTTGAGAGCAAACGATAGAGAGGAAATGGACTGTTGCATAAGAGAAAATGAGGTCAAGGGTATTGCCAGCTACATGGGTGGGAGAATTAGCCCACTGCGATAAGCCAGAGGGAGGAATTAATTGAGTAGTTTAGAGGCTGCTGAGGTCAAAGGTGGGTTAATGGGAATATTGAAGTCCCCAAGAATTAGGGATGGAATATTAGAAGAGAGGAAGTAGGGTAAGCCAGGCAGCAAAGTGGTCAAGGAAGAAGAGAGGGGAACCAAGGGGGGCGATAAATAACGGCAATGTTAGCATAGAAGGGTTTAAAGAGGTGAATCAAATGCATTTCAAATGATAGGAAAGAGAGGGAATGTGGGGTGGGTAGAAGTTTGAAGGAGCAGTAAGGTGAGAGGATAAAACCCTACACCACCACCTTTACATTCAGAGTGTCTTGGGTTGTGGGTAAGTTGAAGACCACCTAAGGATAAAGATGCAGGTTTAGCAGTGTCAGAGTGGGAGAGCCATGTTCTGTTAAGGCTAGTAAATCTAGGGAACAAAAGATTAAGAGGTCGTGGACAGCAGCGGATTTTGTAATATTGCAAACAGAGCGTGCATTCCAGAGGGCAGTATTGAAGGAGGATTTAGAGGAAGAGTAACATGAGATGGGTATGAGATTGGTGTGGTTCTTTGAGTTAGTACGTGGTGGGTTTGCTAAGATGGGACCAGGGTTTGGAGGGACTCCTGCATTGGTTGAACATGTTCATCACACTAACCCCTACCGGGACACCGCGATTAGGTAGACACACAGCTACACAGCTGTTATCAGCACCCTGACAGAGACGGAGGGACGGCATATCTATTCAAAACGTTCCCTACACCATAAACCACGACATAGACAAAAGGGAGACTACGACAGCATCAGCATGACAACACCTCCTAGTTGGGATCGGGGCTCACGCCACATCAGGTGACATAGAGCCACCTTGGGGGCTGATATGACATGTACGACACCACGTTTATATCGTTGTACTGCTGGACCCATCGAGGTCATATAACCCACCTCCGCATACGTCGTTTTTTCTTTTTTGTGATTAAAGGGAGTCCCCTGCAGGGGGAAAACAAAAAGCCACCCGAGGGAAGGCCGGGGCACGACAGCGGGTAACTAATCAGTCACTGAGACTTGGGACGGCCCAGATCGTTCTCTGGGGGGCCCCCACACAAACACTAGCCTCGTCTCTGCACCACCCATTACAGCGATGTGGGACACACCCCTCACTAACTACACAATAGTGGGTAACCTAACCGAACAAACACCTATAGAGACGGCCTGCTTCTGCCCAAGGCCAAAGTGTTGGGGTGTCGTATTGTGCCTGTTTGAAATCTATGCAATCGTTGCTTATTCACTGTTTTGTACCACATAAAATGGAAAATAAAGAATGTCAAAGAAAAAAAAAAAAAAAAAGAATAGGCTTTGTAAGCACATTGAGTATACAGTGAGGGAAAAAAGTATTTGATCTCCTGCTGATTTTGAACGTTTGCCCACTGGCAAAGAAATGATTGGTCTATAATTTTAATGGTAGGTGTATTTTAACAGTGAGAGACAGAACAAAAACAAAAAAAATCCAGAAAAACGCATGTCAAAAAAGTTAGAAATTGATTTGCATGTCAATGAGTGAAATAAGTATTTGACCCCTTTGACGTAGTACTTGGGTGCTAAAACCCTTGTTGGCAATCACAGAGGTCAGACATTTCTTGTAGTTGGCCACCTGGTTTGCACAAATCTCAGGAGGGATTTTGTCCCACTCCTCTTTGCAGATTATCTCCAACTCATTAAGATTTTGAGGCGGACATTTGGCAACTTGAACCTTCAGCTCCCTCCACAGATTTTCTATGGGATTACGGTCTGCAGACTGGCTAGGCCACTTCAGGACCTTAATGTGCTTCTTCTTGAGCCACTCCTTTGCTCCTTGGCTGTGTGTTTTGGGTCATTGTCATGCCTGAATACCTATCCACGACCCATTTTCAATGCCCTGGGTGAGGGAAGGAGGTTCTCACCCAAGATTTGACGGTACATGGCCCCGTCCATCGTCTCTTTGATGCGGTGCAGTTGTCCTGTCCCCTTAGCAGCAGAAAAAACACCCCCAAAGCATAAAGTTTCCACCTCCATGTTTGACGGTGGGGATGGTGTTCTTGGGGTCATAGGCAGCATTCCTCCACCTCCAAACATGGCGAGTTGAGTTGATGCTAAAGAGCTCGATTTTGGTCTCATCTGACCACAACACTTTCACCCAGTTCTCCTCTGAATCATACAGATGTTTGTTGGCAAACTTCAGACAGGCTTGTTCATGTGCTTTCTTGAGCAGGGGGACCTTGAGGGTGCGGCAGGATTTCAGTCCTTCATGGTGTAGTGTGTTATTAATTGTTTTCTTGGTGACTATTGTCCCAGCTGCCTTGAGATCATTAACAAGATCCTCCCATGTAGTTCTGGGCTGATTCCTCACCGTACTCATGATCACTGAAACTCCACGTGGTGAGTTCTTGCATGGAGCACCAGACCGAGAGAGACTGATAGTTATTTTGTGTTTCTTCCATTTGAGAATAATCGCATTAACTAATGTCACCTTCTCACCAATTTGCTTGGCAATAGTCTTGTAACCAATCCAGCCTTGTGTAGGTCTACAATCTTGTCCCTGACATCCTTGGACAGCTCTTCGGTCTTGGTCATGGTGGAGAGATTTGAATCTGTTTGTTTGATTGCTTCTGAACACAGGTGTCTTTTATACAGGTAACAAGCTGAGATTAGGAGCACTCCCTTTAAGCGCCTGCTCCTAATCTCAGCTCGTTACCTGTATAAAAGACACCTGGGAGACAGAAATCTTGCTGACTGATAGGGGATCAAATACTAATTTCACTCATTGACATGCAAATCAATTTATAACTTTTTTGATGTGTTTTTCTGGATTTTTTTTTTTTTTTGGTTGTTGTTATTTTGTCTCTCACTGTTAAAATACACCTATCATTAAAATTATAGACTGACCATTAGCTTGTCAGTGGGCAAATGTTCAAAATCAGCAGGGGATCAAATACTTCTTTTTCCTCACTGTAAATCCCACAAAAATCAGGCTCTCAAAAAACGGATGATGGCAAATGTAGCTATATCCCCTGACTTGGACCAGCAGAATTTTCTGTGAAGCCTTGAGTAAAACGGACTCTATTGGGCAAAAAAAATTAAAGTATATCTAGTCATATATTATTTGGTAAAAGCGCTGATAGTTCACTTATTCCACAGTTCAAAATGCTAAAAAAAAAATAAAAAAATTCTCTGTCTACTTCTAATATCTACAGAATAATCACCCCCTCTTCTTAACACAGTGCACCCTTAGGGAGTGTGTGCTAAACTATGCAGTAATCTATATGAAAAAAAAATCACCAATGTCACAACTTTTCAAATGCAATAGTGTTGGTACTTGGACTCTGAACGTGACCCCTGACTCTGTACATGGGGATCCACTGCTGTAAATAATATAAAAATATATTTTCAAACTTTCATAAGTAGTGTACAATTTCAATTAATAGCCCACTCAGTTTTATTAACACCATAGTTATATCGAGCTCTATAAGAGTATAACTCATAACTGAAAGACATTTAAACTTAGAACCGGTATTTGGTGCTTCAATAAATAAAAAAATTAAAGTAAACTTTTTTTTGAATGTATGTTTATTTCTTGTCAAATAAAAACAATTAAACCAAAGCACAACTTTTATTTTTACATTTATTTACAGTGAGCATTATGTATTTTGGCAGGCAACAGCTCTGACCAATTATTATTGGCTCCATTACTGAAGCTACATTTTTACAATGAGAGTAAAAAAATACAAGAAAACAGATGACAAATTACAGACAGAAACAAAACTAACTGCTGAAACGTAAGGTGTCTTTACATACCGCAATATTACCTCCACAGCTAATTTGAATTAGAACCATTCCGAGAAATAAAATTATTAATATTTCAGCAGACAAAAATCTGAAATGTTCTACTTACCTTTTGCACAACATTTTGGAGTTTCTTTGTAAAAAAAAATAAAAAAATATCGAAGCTGTACCACTGAATTATGGGATACATTTGTTAACCAATCATTGGTTTTACTTTCCAAATAGTATGTGTGGCTTGCCACAGGTATTGAGACAAACGATATTTAGGAGGTAAATCTTCAGATGTTTAGGCTGGTTAGATATGGTGGCCAACAATTCCCTCAAATGTGTTTACATTAAGATTATCTTTAAGCACTTAAAAAGTATGTAAAAATTACATCAAACAACAAAGTGCATCTGTATATATCCAAACAAGACATTAACTACAACATCCATGTTTTCAACCTATTCTATTTAAGAATGAGCTTGGTCAAACACAATACAACCATGCCAGAAATGAAAAAAAATTAAAAAAAAGTTTACGTTTATACATTTTCTCAAATTTAAGGTTTTCAGATACATGCTCTAAATCACATTAAGAGGGAAAAAAAGACTATTTAACACCTCCTCCTCTTTAAAGTGATGCGTAGATCCAGGTGAGGATTACGGAGCACTACTCGAGGCACTTCGAAAGTTAGTGGTTGACGTCATGCTGTCCTTCGGCAGTGCGCCCAACGCTTGGAGGGCAGCTGCGGCTGCTGTTGCTTTGGCAAGTTTTTTGTTGACGCTAGGCTGGCTGGGCTGATGAACGGAACCATTGACTGTTACCTGCACATGAATGTATGGTTAATTGTACTATAGTAATATGCACCTCTATTATTTGCAATATTATACTCAGTTCCTATTGGGGATCCAGGCTTCGCTGGATATTTTACTTAAAAAAAGACACATAAATGCAAGCAGCATAGCAGCAAAATATACATATCCAGTTGTCAGACACATCTTCCTCAAGAATGGTGGTTGGGCTAAAACTAACTAGGTTTATTTAAACCATGGGTTGTCAACCTGGTCCCTACCGCCCACTAGTGGGCGTTTCAGGATTCCAGGTGGGCGGGAGGGCGAGTGCGAACCGGCGGTACCCCTGCGACCATTTGCGGCCCCGACCCGCGTGGCAAATCGCCGAGGGCGCCGTCCAAGGGGCCCATGCTGTAAGGATGGATGTGGATTAAGAGGGGGCCCGGTCAGCGCTGGGCGCTTTAACAGCGCGACCGAGCCCCCTGTTATTACATCACACGCTGGGAGGAAGTGACTGCGCGTCACTCCTCCCAGCTAACAAACAGATCGCGCTGGAGGAAGACCAGGGAGTCTGACTCCCATGCACCTGAGCCACCACTGGACCCCAGGGAAAGTCACCCTCCTGCACCTAAAAGGTAGGAAACAGGAGGGTGACTAAAATATTTTGTGTGTGTTTGTGTGTATGTGTCTTTGTATGTATGTCTTGTGTGTGTGTCTATCTGTATATCTTGTGTGTATGTATGTGTGTCTTTGTATGTGTACCTGTCTGTATGTATGTATGTATGTATGTGTGCCTGTCAGTTTTTCAGTATGTATGTATGCCGTTCTGTTTGTATGTATGCCTGTCTGTATGTATGTATGTATTTTTGTGTGTGTATGTATGTATGTATGTATGTGTGTCTGTCTGTTATAGTGGGCTATACAGGGAGTGCAGAATTATTAGGCAAATGAGTATTTTGACCACATCATCCTCTTTATGCATGTTGTCTTACTCCAAGCTGTATAGGCACGAAAGCCTACTACCAATTAAGCATATTAGGTGATGTGCATCTCTGTAATGAGAAGGGGTGTGGTCTAATGACATCAACACCCTATATCAGGTGTGCATAATTATTAGGCAACTTCCTTTCCTTTGGCAAAATGGGTCAAAAGAAGGACTTGACAGGCTCAGAAAAGTCAAAAATAGTGAGATATCTTGCAGAGGGATGCAGCACTCTTAAAATTGCAAAGCTTCTGAAGCGTGATCATCGAACAATCAAGCGTTTCATTCAAAATAGTCAACAGGGTCGCAAGAAGCGTGTGGAAAAACCAAGGCGCAAAATAACTGCCCATGAACTGAGAAAAGTCAAGCGTGCAGCTGCCACGATGCCACTTGCCACCAGTTTGGCCATATTTCAGAGCTGCAACATCACTGGAGTGCCCAAAAGCACAAGGTGTGCAATACTCAGAGACATGGCCAAGGTAAGAAAGGCTGAAAGACGACCACCACTGAACAAGACACACAAGCTGAAACGTCAAGACTGGGCCAAGAAATATCTCAAGACTGATTTTTCTAAGGTTTTATGGACTGATGAAATGAGAGTGAGTCTTGATGGGCCAGATGGATGGGCCCGTGGCTGGATTGGTAAAGGGCAGAGAGCTCCAGTCCGACTCAGACGCCAGCAAGGTGGAGGTGGAGTACTGGTTTGGGCTGGTATCATCAAAGATGAGCTTGTGGGGCCTTTTTAGGGTTGAGGATGGAGTCAAGCTCAACTCCCAGTCCTACTGCCAGTTCCTGGAAGACACCTTCTTCAAGCAGTGGTACAGGAAGAAGTCTGCATCCTTCAAGAAAAACATGATTTTCATGCAGGACAATGCTCCATCACACGCGTCCAAGTACTCCACAGCGTGGCTGGCAAGAAAGGGTATAAAAGAAGAAAATCTAATGACATGGCCTCCTTGTTCACCTGATCTGAACCCCATTGAGAACCTGTGGTCCATCATCAAATGTGAGATTTACAAGGAGGGAAAACAGTACACCTCTCTGAACAGTGTCTGGGAGGCTGTGGTTGCTGCTGCACGCAATGTTGATGGTGAACAGATCAAAACACTGACAGAATCCATGGATGGCAGGCTTTTGAGTGTCCTTGCAAAGAAAGGTGGCTATATTGGTCACTGATTTGTTTTTGTTTTGTTTTTGAATGTCAGAAATGTATATTTGTGAATGTTGAGATGTTATATTGGTTTCACTGGTAATAATAAATAATTGAAATGGGTATATATTTGTTTTTTGTTAAGTTGCCTAATAATTATGCACAGTAATAGTCACCTGCACACACAGATATCCCCCTAACATAGCTAAAACTAAAAACAAACTAAAAACTACTTCCAAAAATATTCAGCTTTGATATTAATGAGTTTTTTGGGTTCATTGAGAACATGGTTGTTGTTCAATAATAAAATCCTCAAAAATACAACTTGCCTAATAATTCTGCACTCCCTGTAGTAAGTGGGCTACCTAGCTAAGCCTTGCTTCTGGGCATTGCTATAAGGAAGGTTAAAAAATAGAAAAAAGGGATAAAAAAGGTGGGGATGGGAATAGAGGAGGGAGATGAGATGACGCACAGATGAGAAATCATATTATGCGTAAACAGAGAAGTCGTCTGAATATCATCGAAAGAGGAGACCTTTGTTTGTGTTTGTTCCTTACAAAATTGAACCAGATATCAAATATTTAGTCTCGCAGCATCAGCCTCAAGGGTCTCATTAATCACTAGTAAAAGGTAATTTCAATTTACTTTATTGTTTTCCAATTAAACTTTATAAAGTTAAAAACATTATAAACATGCATTAAGTAGAACTAAAAAGATAAATGTACGTACATTTATTTTTTTTAAAAACACCCTCCTTTCTAAAAAATATTCCGCACTTGCGTGAAAACTGGAAATTTCTCCATCAAGAAAGATGCATTAGTGCGCGGTAGGTTGACTACCACTGATTTAAACTATAGCATTAGGAAAACAGACTTGTATTCCCAATGCTATAGCATTTCTTTAAAGTATTCCCCTTAAATTCTGACAACATTCTTGTACAACATGCAAGATCTGTCAAGGTCAGGCCATATAAAGTTTAACTTTGCTTTTTCCAAAGACATTTTTCATAATCAGGGATCAGTAAAACAAAACTTATCTGCTATTCTACAATTGGTAAAATTCAATTCATAAGACCAAATCAGAGACTCAAAAGAAGACAGTAAGGGCAATAAAACACTTCAAATACCACATTACCTAAAAAGTTGGAACACTGACGGCCTTCAAAAAGAGCAGTTTGATATATTTTACAATTACTTTTTTTATGGAATTTATATGAATCTTCGCAAAGTTGATTTCTACCACATTTACACCAAAAAATCCTGTCCTCTGAAGCCCAGAGCAGAGTAATGACTGAATACTTTGGGGTCCTTACCCTAAAAAGAAACCTTTTGCGATGTTCAGGGCCTGTATCATCAATCAACACAAATTCTGGTGGCGACCATTTCTTCTTATTGCAGAGTTCCATCAACGCTGAAATTGGGTGTTTTCCTGTGGAATAATTAAGGTAAAAAACAAAACATTACATTATCAATTAGATCTCATGTATTTTAGCATAGAACGATACTTTGATTTTATAAATGACAAGTCAAGAACCAAGTACACGGCCAGAGTAAAAAATAGTAAAATAGTTTTATTTTTAGAGGAGATAATAATGAAGTGTAAGGTAGTCAAGGTGACACAGAGGCTTTGACATTGTGTAACTAATAGGAATACTTTGTGTATTTGCTTGTTCAAATCGTTCCTCACAATATTTAACACTAGTTAAGCAGTTTGGGCCTCGATTTAATCACTTGATGGGTGAACTGAAAGTGCAGCAAGTGTCCCTAGTAACATATCCTGCTTAGTTATTATAAAGTTCCCAGACAGCCAAGTGCCAATATATATATATATATATATATATATATATATATATATATGTTTTTACCTGCTTTTGAATATGAAACAGCCTAAGCAAAGCCACATCCTAAAACTTGGTTTCCATTAATTTTATTATTTAAACACCCCTTTCTGTCCCATTAGTGATTTTGCCTTTTAACTGAAGCAGCATGGTGAGTTTTTAGAATAGGCTCACCAATAGATTTGCTTTAATATTGGCAGGTGAGCTAACACTTCAATGACCATTACACTGGTACTCAACAACTCTCATTTTGTATTCTGGTGTTGGGACAGAGCAAAGGTAACTTTTTGTTTATACATTAGGAACAAATCACTATGGCTGCCGCCCAAGAACGGTGGGAGCTTGGATGTAGGGCTAATGTATGTATTATGTGCTATTAAATAAGTTGCTGGGCATGAATGACTACTATAAGGCGATTGAGCTGATATGGGTTTAGAAAAGTACAGTATGTGTGTGTGAAGTTACATTCAGTATTTGGCTAAATGTTATGGGATGTGACGGCTTCTACTTTTTGCAAGAAGTGTTACTTTTCAAATAAAGCAGCACGTGGCTTCAACAAACTTAATAAGGATCTAATTTAAAAACAAACATTATTTGTATAGACGGCCTGGTATTTCCAGCCAATCAGAATAGAGCTACAAAATATAGAGCTACAAAATATAATGAGGAGGAGACACAATTGGTAACAGCACATTCTATAATGCAGAGACTTGATCGAAGAATGCTACTAAAACCACAGATATTCCATAATATTTATAAATATTTGGACATCTCTAAAAAGCGATTTTATATAAACTGATTAAACATGAATGTATTAAAAAAAGAAAGAAAAAGAAAAAAAGCATGGCAGGAATAAAATAATATCCCAAATAACTCACCAGAAAGATCCTTCATTGCTGGCAAAGCTAATTTGTTTGTGGCCTTTTCTCCATCTGCAACCAAACCTGTACGGGGGAATGATTGACAGGATTTGTAATATAATATTTACTTATTCCTATGTTTAACAACTTTTGTGAGGTGTGAAAAAATAAAAGTAGAAATCACACTAAGGGCCTCCATCTTAGCTCCCTGTCAGTCACTGTTATGCGCTCTGTCCTTTTTGACCAGCAGGTCAGCATAGAGAAAGGATACAGAGAAGAGGAGAAATTAAACCATGTTTTTATTTCTCCCCGATTGCAATGTTTGCCTTGGCTTTACCTTGTCTGAACTGGATTATGATGTTATTTGCTAAATCTTCAATGTAAACTACATGAAAAAGGTTAACACAAGTTAAATCGGATTTTCAATGCTTTATTAGATTCTGTAAATTCCAGAGAACCAACATCACCCCTTTGATAACACTTGTTTGGTGACAGCCACACCCTGACCAGCATTTCAAATAGCAGGAAAAGCACTTATGTCCATGAGAGCGTCAATGTATGAAGAAAATTCTCACAGTGGATAGCAGTGTCACCTATTAAACCAGTCTCACAGTGGATAGCAGTGTCACCTATTAAACCATTCTCATAGTGGATAGCAGTGTCACCTATTAAACCATTCTCATAGTGGATAGCAGTGTCACCTATTAAACCATTCTCACAGTGGATAGCAGTGTCACCTATTAAACCAGTCTCACAGTGGATAGCAGTGTCACCTATTAAACCAGTCTCATAGTGGATAGCAGTGTCACCTATTAAACCATTCTCACAGTGTATAGCAGTGTCACCTATTAAACCATTCTCATATAGCAGTGGATAGCAGTGTCACCTATTAAACCATTCTCACAGTGGATAGCAGTGTCACCTATTAAACCAGTCTCATAGTGGATAGCAGTGTCACCTATTAAACCATTCTCACAGTGTATAGCAGTGTCACCTATTAAACCATTCTCATAGTGGATAGCAGTGTCACCTATTAAACCATTCTCATAGTGGATAGCAGTGTCACCTATTAAACCATTCTCATAGTGGATAGCAGTGTCACCTATTAAACCAGTCTCATAGTGGATAGCAGTGTCACCTATTAAACCATTCTCATAGTGGATAGCAGTGTCACCTATTAAACCATTCTCATAGTGGATAGCAGTGTCACCTATTAAACCATTCTCATAGTGGATAGCAGTGTCACCTATTAAACCATTCTCATAGTGGATAGCAGTGTCACCTATTAAACCATTCTCACAGTGGATAGCAGTGTCACCTATTAAACCATTCTCATAGTGTATAGCAGTGTCACCTATTAAACCAGTCTCATAGTGGATAGCAGTGTCACCTATTAAACCAGTCTCACAGTGTATAGCAGTGTCACCTATTAAACCAGTCTCATAGTGGATAGCAGTGTCACCTATTAAACCAGTCTCACAGTGTATAGCAGTGTCACCTATTAAACCAGTCTCATAGTGGATAGCAGTGTCACCTATTAAACCATTCTCATAGTGGATAGCAGTGTCACCTATTAAACCATTCTCATAGTGGATAGCAGTGTCACCTATTAAACCATTCTCACAGTGGATAGCAGTGTCACCTATTAAACCATTCTCATAGTGGATAGCAGTGTCACCTATTAAACCATTCTCATAGTGGATAGCAGTGTCACCTATTAAACCATTCTCACAGTGGATAACAGTGTCACCTATTAAACCATTCTCACAGTGGATAACAGTGTCACCTATTAAACCATTCTCATAGTGGATAGCAGTGTCACCTATTAAACCATTCTCATAGTGGATAGCAGTGTCACCTATTAAACCAGTCTCATAGTGGATAGCAGTGTCACCTATTAAACCATTCTCATAGTGGATAGCAGTGTCACCTATTAAACCATTCTCATAGTGGCAGTGTCAGTGGATAGCAGTGTCACCTATTAAACCATTCTCATAGTGGATAGCAGTGTCACCTATTAAACCATTCTCATAGTGGATAACAGTGTCACCTATTAAACCATTCTCACAGTGGATAACAGTGTCACCTATTAAACCATTCTCACAGTGGATAACAGTGTCACCTATTAAACCATTCTCATAGTGGATAGCAGTGTCACCTATTAAACCATTCTCATAGTGGATAACAGTGTCACCTATTAAACCATTCTCATAGTGGATAGCAGTGTCACCTATTAAACCATTCTCATAGTGGATAGCAGTGTCACCTATTAAACCATTCTCATAGTGGATAGCAGTGTCACCTATTAAACCATTCTCACAGTGGATAGCAGTGTCACCTATTAAACCATTCTCACAGTGGATAGCAGTGTCACCTATTAAACCATTCTCATAGTGGATAGCAGTGTCACCTATTAAACCATTCTCATAGTGGATAGCAGTGTCACCTATTAAACCATTCTCACAGTGGATAACAGTGTCACCTATTAAACCATTCTCACAGTGGATAACAGTGTCACCTATTAAACCATTCTCATAGTGGATAGCAGTGTCACCTATTAAACCATTCTCATAGTGGATAGCAGTGTCACCTATTAAACCAGTCTCATAGTGGATAGCAGTGTCAGCTATTAAACCATTCTCATAGTGGATAACAGTGTCACCTATTAAACCATTCTCACAGTGGATAGCAGTGTCACCTATTAAACCAGTCTCATAGTGGATAACAGTGTCACCTATTAAACCATTCTCATAGTGGATAGCAGTGTCACCTATTAAACCATTCTCATAGTGGATAGCAGTGTCAACTATTAAACCATTCTCATAGTGGATAGCAGTGTCACCTATTAAACCATTCTCACAGTGGATAGCAGTGTCACCTATTAAACCATTCTCACAGTGGATAGCAGTGTCACCTATTAAACCATTCTCATAGTGGATAGCAGTGTCACCTATTAAACCATTCTCATAGTGGATAGCAGTGTCACCTATTAAACCATTCTCACAGTGGATAACAGTGTCACCTATTAAACCATTCTCACAGTGGATAACAGTGTCACCTATTAAACCATTCTCATAGTGGATAGCAGTGTCACCTATTAAACCATTCTCATAGTGGATAACAGTGTCACCTATTAAACCATTCTCATAGTGGATAGCAGTGTCACCTATTAAACCATTCTCATAGTGGATAGCAGTGTCACCTATTAAACCATTCTCACAGTGGATAGCAGTGTCACCTATTAAACCATTCTCACAGTGGATAGCAGTGTCACCTATTAAACCATTCTCACAGTGGATAGCAGTGTCACCTATTAAACCATTCTCACAGTGGATAGCAGTGTCACCTATTAAACCATTCTCACAGTGGATAGCAGTGTCACCTATTAAACCAGTCTCATAGTGGATAACAGTGTCACCTATTAAACCATTCTCACACTGGATAACAGTGTCACCTATTAAACCATTCTCACACTGGATAGCAGTGTCACCTATTAAACCATTCTCATAGTGGATAACAGTGTCACCTATTAAACCATTCTCACAGTGGATAGCAGTGTCACCTATTAAACCATTCTCACAGTGGATAGCAGTGTCACCTATTAAACCATTCTCATAGTGGATAGCAGTGTCACCTATTAAACCATTCTCATAGTGGATAGCAGTGTCAGCTATTAAACCATTCTCACAGTGGATAACAGTGTCACCTATTAAACCAGTCTCATAGTGGATAGCAGTGTCACCTATTAAACCTTTCTAATATTGGATAGTAGTGCCAGCCACTGCACCATTCTGTAGTGATAGTAGTGCCAACCATTGCACCATTCTGTAGTGGTAAGTAGTGCCAACCATTGCACCATTCTGTAGTGGATAGTAGTGCCAGCTATTGCACCATTCTGTAGTGATAGTAGTGCCAACCATTGCACCATTCTGTAGTGGTAAGTAGTGCCAACCATTGCACCATTCTGTAGTGGAAGGTATTGCCAGCGATTGCCTCATTCTGTAGTGGATGATACCAGGCCATTGCACCATTCTCAGTTAGTGGTCAAAGCCATATCTACGTCTCACGATACAGTGCCAATTATTACTATACCCCATACTGGATAGTACCATTTATTACAGCCCCTCTATTATGGTAATTTATCCCTTCCCCTATTGATCCCCTTTTATATCAAAGCATATCACAGTGGCAGCATTTTTCATTTTCAAACACCAATATAGATTTTTATTTTTAACTTTCTTGTTTGTAACCTTGTAAGTACAGAGGCAATAAGTGTGCATTCCATAGCTCTGAAATTAATGAACATTGTCATGGATACGTGCCATCTCAGCCCTACTACCTGACACAAACACAAAATGAAGGCTCACAGTTCTGGTCAGAATAACAACGGCTTACTCATGACATACCATTTATGATACAGAAAATCATAAGTTGAAATCTGTGGAAATAGGCTCTGATGAACCTGTAAAGAAGTGAGAACCCCTAATTTGTTTTACATCAGGAATTAATGATTTATTTTATTTTTTATATAGAAATGGATTAACATGAGAAAAGAACCACTTATCGTGTGGACTGAGAGCACTCTGCAGTACAATTCTCTATGCCAATTCCAGTTTTCATGTGATTTTTTCACTTTTAGCACCGACAGTACAAATTAAAGTGTAAATTCCTTGAAATTTGAAGTGAGTTCAAAGTGACTAACACTTTGGACCAAGAGCGCAAAACTGAAAAGATACGTGGCTCAATACTTCCGGTATAAAAACATATGTGTGCTTTGCACATCAGAAAAGGAATCCCTAGTATTCTAGCAGAGCACTCGCGGATCAATGGTAAGACTCCCAACCTTAAATATGCGGTGCCATTCTGGGCACCAGTTTTATAGAAAGCTACTGCAGAACTAGAAAAAGTGCAGAGGCAATCTACAAAACTAGTAAGGGGGATGGAAAACATTGGTTATAGAAAGAAAAAAAGCAAGAAAGACAATTTATTTTCATTAGAAAAAGGCGCCTCAAAGGGGATATGATAGAACTATACAAATATATACAAACCCTATACGTGCCAACAAAAGACCAAAGGTAACCCAGTGAGATTTGAAGAACGGCGTTTTCATTTACACCAGTAAGAACAATTAGGATGTGGAATTCTCGTCCTAAAGAGGTTGTCTTTTTTAAAAGGGCTTGGATGCTTTTTTGCATAAACAGAATATTCAAGGATATAATTGATAAGTGTGTGAACAGGTTGTTGATCGAAGGAGAAATAGGATTGCCATTATGGAGTCACGAAGGACTTTTTGTAACATAATTGGAAATGTCTACAACTGGGTTTTTTTGCCTTCTTTTGGAGCAACAGCATAAAAGCATGAGTTTCAAGCTTAAACTATATGGACATAAGTCTCCCCCCCAAACCTAGACATCTATGTAACTGTGCTCCTCTAATATTCATACATTTTATAAAAAACTTTATTTATACTTCAGTTTAAACAATCAGGTAATACCTAATTTGTTAGTCTAGAAAAAAAAAAAAAACTATAAGGAATTTGAAGCAATGATAATGTAAATTTTAAAAAAACCGAAATCCACTGTAGATCCTCGAGAAAGTAGAATTACCTTTTCGATCCGTTTTAAAATCAATAAGAATGGGATTAACATTCCCTTCATTATGTCGTCCAAGGCCCTCTCCTTCACGCCACCCCATTTTTCGCATAAGTAGGGCTCCCCGGCCTCCAGAAACAGGTGCTGCTTTGAGGAACTGATCCTAAAACATAGACAAACACAAAGGAAACAGCAATGCGAAATGTCAGTACATTATATAAAAAATATAAAACACAATCTAAAAGGTACTCTAAAAACATAATTTGATTTGTTTTTGGGTTTTAACATATATATTTTTTTTTTAAATTAATTGGTTTAATAGTAATCCATGCACTATTCTTTTCATTTTCTTTATATATATATATATATATATCCTTGTTGTTTACTACAGAAACATTCAAAAATAACTAACATACATATATATATAATATTCTTAAAAAAACATTTATTCTGGAAAACAGTTTAAAAAAATATATAAATAAATAATTACTACATAATGGTAAATATTAACTGTCTATGTGGTGTGTACACTACAAAATATCTGTTAGATATTACCTTAACATTTAAGGTGTTAACCATTCAAACATACAAAGAAATCAGAGCATTATTTTTACAACGCAGTTCATACAGTTGTAAAAACGCCTTAAATGGTTACCTACCTACACCTCTCTCTTTGGCTGCAGTGTGGTGACAAGTACGGCAGGCAGTGATCGTGGACAGAAGTCAGCTACAAGGATTTGACCCTGCAACAAGTTTCCATATAGAGCGGTAAATGTTCACAGGTCACTCTGTGAACAGTCACCTCTCTCGTACCCCATTGCTCACCCAAGCAAAAAGCTGTCCTACCTTGCTCCTGAAACCTGAGACACTGGGCAAATGCCAGTCTGTCATTTTCAGTTCATCCTGGACTGCTTTACAAAAAAAGTACTTTGGGACAATAACAACATAGTATCGCCAAGTTAGTGTTTCTCTTAACTCTAATCTACCGGCCCTTTGTAATTTAACATTGCACATTCCATTCAGTTTACACTGCAAATTTGAAATAAACAAACAGAGGACACTAAGAATCACCACAAAAGTGTAGATGGGTTTTCAAGAAAGGATATTGGCTTCTAGGTAAAGCGTTAATTCCAAGGACCTTGGACTGAACCAGATCATGCAGATGCAAGTAGACACTCCAGCTGCTCCGGATGCATAAACTGCCTCACTCTGTACACCCCAAAAGGCGTTTACTTACTTACGGGTTCCATCCGCCCCTCTCTTTTTCCAGGAAATTTTCATAAGAGAAGGGTAACCATGCTGTGAGTGATAAAAACCCCAGCCAAAGTCACAACGGGGTCCGATTCCGCTTTTGTACCTGCTTTGCAATGATAGAATTTTCAGCATCAACATCTGTTTCAATGTACCGGTAGAGCTCAATAAAGAACTCAGTTGCAGTGTTCCAAGCCAAGAGAAATAGAGCACACACTAAGCATAGGTTTGATCCCCGGCACAAAATGCATCTCTGCATCAATTTCTCCATGAGCCCCAGTATATAGTCAGTTCACATGATAAAAGAGATACATTCTTGTCACTACATATCTTAAAATACTGCAAAAAACTAAATGACCACATTGACCTGTTAAACTACATAGAACGTGCATTGATGGGTCAATGCAGAGAATCTAAACACTAAACAAAAAATGGACAATCACAGATGATAAATATCACTTGTGAATTTACACGGATCCAAAAAGAAGTGTTCCACAAAAAGAGGCTTACTTATATAGTTCTGCAAACATGAATGTTCCACAAACAGTGGTATCTAATACAAACCATGTTTATGGAAATAACAGAATCTAACGGATATGCAGAGGGAAGAGCTGATGAGCAACATGGATGGTATTCTCTGGAAATTTGTCAGCAGACGTCTTCTGGCCAAGGAGAACTCCACTGCTCGATGATGAGATGACGGATGGTCCCTTCTCGAAGACGGCTGTAATCAAGGCTTTTCCTCCTTACACTGGAGAGCTCTTGCCTTCTCTTCTGGTCAACGGCTTCTCCACTTGTCTGCATACTGCCAGATTCTGATTCTTACCATAAAGTATGAGGACATTATGTCTCTAGTGTCAAGTTCTGCAGGTGGATTAAATAACCTGGCATTTATAATATTCAAAAAGTTGAGTCACAAGAAAGGTTCTGTTAACATGTGAACTGATTATACAATTCAAGGTACACTGAAACAGACAATATTTTAAGGGAGAGTAAGAATATCTACGGCTAAACCAAAAGAGGGGGAGGGGGATACAACAGGTTCTTTAGAATTAATCCCATGAGAGAAAAGAAAAGAAAAAAAAAGAAAACACACAAAACAAAGCAGCTAGCATCTAATTGTCACAGGACTAGTTTGTATTCTTCAGGGGACATATTAAAATTAACTCATATCTACCAGTACTTAAATAATATTCAGAAAGATGTGACAGTATCCTATCAGAAGCAAGCCTTTGCATAACTGATGTATCCCTGATGACTACAGTATGTTATGTGCTGTGCAAGAATACCAGCCAATACGTTTCTATATAGTCACATACCTTTTTGAGCCAAGCCTGGGGGCCACTGTTGCTAATCTCATCTGCAGTCAGGACTTGCGCTCCTGTGCTTCCTGTGAACTGCCCCGGCAGCGATGTGGACTGTGCCCATGCGTCAATCTGAACAGGATGTGAAATGCGTATGGTAAGATTTTTTTTATTATTACACAATTTCTACTATAAGCCGTAATAAATTAAAATCTAGTATTTTAAGGTAAAAGATACACAGTGTTCAGTATGTATGGCATAGTCTGCATCTATGGAAGACCACAGCAAGCACAACGCTGCTTGACACATGTGCATATCAGCTCTTTGGTAACTAAAAATACTGGGTTTTTAACATATAGTATCTTAGCCTAGCTGTTTCTATGATGTGCATGCACTAGCCCGTTAGAAAGAATTTAACACTATCAGTAGGACTAGGCTCCAGCGTTATGGCTGCATGAGTTACCATGCGCATGGGCCTGAATTCTCTCACAATTTCAACCGAATCAACCAGCTTTTAATGAACAAAACTGAAAATACCTACACTAATTAATTAAAATGACTTAAAATCTCTGAATACCTAACATATATGAATCATTAGAGGTTATTCTAAGCTTTATAATGTGTGGACGCGGTCTATAAATGCTTATTCAAGATTTTAAACTTTATTTCTCCACACCGAGGCTCCACCCACCTTCCATAAGTTGGACTCTGCATTGAGGTTTGCAAATGCTTGTAAGGTATGAGCCTGCACTGTCTGCTTATGGTGTTCAAATCAGTCTCCCCCACTTGCCGGAGCTGGACTTTGAACATGGAACACACACAGCGTTTCAAAGCCAAGCTTATGGAGCTGAACACTCAGCCATTGTGCTATGGAATTCATCTTTACATTGCCAAGTGATTTCTATCTGTGTTTCACTGCATTAAGTCCCCCATTCTTCTGTATTATATCCATCCAAGTACTTACACTCTGGGGTGGTTTTATCAGACACTACAATGGTCACACTCATGTGCTGGATATGACACCAAACACCTGGTCCTACTGAAACATATTAAGATCCAGGACTCTCTTATCTCTGCTTCCCCGACCGTATATGATCCCAGGCAAGCAAGTTTAAAAAAAAAACAAAAAAAAACAACACCTAGCCAGTAATCTCATCTAAACCTCTCACCTTGACCCCATGCAATCTGGTGCTTGTATTTATACCAAAACAATAAATAGCCTTGTTACAAATAGAACTAACGGTCACTTTTAACTAGATTCTCCTGCTAATCCGGATCTCAGAATACGAAATTCTGGCCTGCTGGTTAGCACATCTCTTGGATTGCTCTTTCACTGTCGCCCTTTTGGCACCTACAAATCTCCGGGTTCTGTTTCCAGCTAACTTCTCTTCTCTACACATCCTCTATCAGGAAATAATTAGGTTCCTTTAGAAAGGTGTTTGCATTCCCTTATTTGTGCACATGTATAATATCATAAATAAGAGCGGCGATAAAAAATTATTATATAAAAAACTACTATGAGAAAATGTAAAACAACACTAGCATGCAAATGTGCAGATTGGTGGAGGAAATAAAATTAAGTGTACACTTGCTTCTCCACCCCTACACATTTGACTCAAAGTTTTCTCAGGTGCTTAAAGGACCACTATAGGCACCCAGACCACTTCAGCTTAATGAAGTGGTCTGGGTGCCAGGTCCATATAGGATTAACCCTTTTTTTTTTTATAAACATAGCAGTTTCAAAGAAACATATAGGTTACTTAGAACATACCACTGTTGCCGGTTTAAAAATATTTATATCGATTAGCTATAACTTGAGGACTATATTCACCTTTTAATTCATGTTTTTAAATGTAATATATTACACTGATTTGTTTCAAAGAAACTGCTATGTTTACACTGAGGGTTAATCCAGCCTCTAAAGTCTCTAGTGGCGCTTGCGTGCTTCTCACTGTGAAAATCACAGTGAGAAGACGCCAGCGTCCATAGGAAAGCATTGTAAATGCTTTCCTATGAGACTGGCTGAATGCGCGCGCAGCTCCTGCCGCACATGCGCATTCAGCCAATGACGTCGCTAGGAAGAAGGAGAGGAAGAGGAGAGCTCCCCGCCCAGCGCTGGAGAAAGGTAAGTGTTTAACCCCTTCCTCTCCCCAGAGCCCGGCGGGAGGGGCACTATAGTGCCAGGAAAACGAGTATGTTTTCCTGGCACTATAGTGGTCCTTTAATATGCTTCCCTTTCCTTCTCACATCTTCATAGGATGCTTTCAGTGCACAAAATCGACTTTGTACACATAGATCGATGTCACAACACCAAAGATGTAAAAATTTGGAAGGGCAAACAGTTTTGAATAACAGAAAGAAAGTCATCATGGACAACACAATGTAACTGTAGATTTTATATTCACTCTTCTTTCATCTTCCTTCCTTAGTTAGTTATTGGATTGCAGAGTATTGATTGCATGGAGACCATGGTGTTTTAGTATTCAGTAAAATAAATGTATGTATATAGGAATGTATAACACTACCTAGAAAGTAGGGGGAGAGGGAAATGTATATTGAGTAAAACGAACACTGGATAGAGATAAAAAAAAATAAAAAAATAAAAAATATATATATATAAATACATATAACTATGTACAAGATACAGAGTCCAAATAAATGAATATGTACAGTTAGAACAATGAGTCAAATCAGTGTAATATATTACATTTAAAAACATGAATTAAAAGGTGAATATAGTCCTCAAGTTATAGCTAATCGATATAAATATTTTTAAACCGGCAACAGTGGTATGTCCTAAGTAACCTATATGGAAAGGCTATCCACAAAACCATCCACCATCCAGACCAGGGTGCTTTAGTATTCAGTAAAATAAGTTCAAAGATTTCTGGTACACATCAGTTACGCTGCTCCCCTGGTGACACGCAGCCCATAGAACCACTTCTTCACAACAAACCACAAGAGGGACACATTAAAAATAAGGGAACTAAAAACTATTTTTAATTCACAACATTTGCAACACTTTACAAGAGCCAAAGCAAGATGTTGACACTTGTGAGTGTGGATTAAAAAACAGACCAGAATATTTATTAAAATAAGAATAACCGGGAATTCAATTTGAAATTCAAATTTAAGGCCAACATAGCCAAATTGAAAACAGAATTGTCTTTGGAGAATTTTTCAAATTTAGCTCTTTTGGCTAAAATTTAATTCACTTTGAATTCCCAACAATTCTCATGTTCGTAATTAACCCTGTTAGTTTATCCACATATTTTGAGTGCGCCATTTACAACATCCTCTAGACCAGCCTGATGGAGAGGAACTACATGTGCAAATAATTGTTGGGTTGGTTTTTGAGGGGATGGGGATAGTATGGCATTAGCTTCTATTTTTACTTGTTTAATAATAATATGGGGATCCTGTGCTTTTAGGAGCCTTGGGTATTATTTGTGAAGCACCCCTTATTGTTTTGCAGTAGGTGGGTGCATTTAACAGAAGCACACACCCGTCTTGCTGATGCGAGAACAGACGTCCATATGAATGACACAACGTGCAAAGATAAGACAGACTCTCAAAGCGGTTTGGCCAGCAGGATTAGAGAAACAGGGAAATCAGGATCAAACAACAAGCGGAACCAACTATGTGAGAGCGGTGAATATACTTTGTATCTACAGGGGTTACATAGGAAGGTTGGGGGGGGGGGGAGAGAGGGTGATGAGATGCAAGCACATGATTTGTGCATCTACAGGGAAAAAAAAAATAAAATAAATAAAAACAACTGTAAAAACAGCTACGAAAATTAAAGGAAAGTTAAGAGATTCTATCAAGTGGAAATAGGGAAGGCCGCACAAGACTGCAGTGAAGGGTAAATGCAGAGGAAAGATGTTTTCTGATCCCTAACATGCACTGACTATTCTGCTTACTGATGAGCAGCTCCTAGTAGTTTCTGTTACCTTAATCCAAACCCTTCTCTATGATGAAATATGAACTCAATGGAGTAATGATCAAAGCCATTCCCTGGCATGTCAAGCTACCGTACATTGTCAGCAAGGTGTCAATTTCCAGGCATAGAACTGAAAGTATCACAGGAGGTCGAAGTGTTCGTTGCTCTGGTCTCCAGAGAAATGACTTGTCCCTAGGCAGCTGCCCTTTTTACCCCACATTAAAGTTTCGTATGCCTAATTAGGAAAGACTTCAACTTGCAGGTCACCCAAAGTAGAGCCCTCTTTCCTGGCCAGCAATATCACCCACCTGTTCCTGGGCACGGTTTAACATGAACAAGGCTTCAAGATCAAAAGGGTTTCCTGTAAGTCTGGTCTGCGCGATTGCTCGTTCGTTCATGGCAGAAGTGATGTCCACCTGCTAAAAATAGAAGAGGATAAAATTTATTATTTTGAAACTTCTAGAAACTGAAAATGACATTGTCACAACTTACAATAGATTATTCAATAAACAGTAAACTGCAAGATTCGTAAAATAGCAGCATTAGAAAATTCTTACAGGTCAGCTATTTTGGCTTTAAAGTTTCAGACTGATTTCACGGTTTGGTGAATAAAGACCCTCAGTTGACATAAAATAGTAATATGTTCCAACTGACACCATAGTTCAATGACATTTATTTTAAATTACCATAAATTCAGTAACATTCTACAGTGATTTTAACAGAACAAACCTGAATAACTGTTAAATCAAGTATTTGCGGGATGTATTTAAAATCCAGTAAAAGTTGAATGACAAAAACATTTAAAAAAAAAACACAATGAGAAAGTCTGCAACAGTTAACCTAATTCTGCAACTGTGCTAATAAACTAAACTGCTATAATGCTTAGCCCAAAAGCTCAAAGGATTAAGGGAGTTTTAGTTTTAATGTAGACGCACTAACCCTAATCTAAAAAGCACACACATTTCTCTTTAGTGATGGGAGACACAAATAACAAAATTGAGGACAATAACTAAACAAATAACTAAAATGAGAACAATTAACTGACTTGTTCCAAAGCACTGCTCACGCATTCTGTATAAAACTCTTCACCAACCCTTAAAAAAAAAATAAATTCAAAAATACTGCATGCCTCCTAAAAATAAATAAATAAATAAAAAAGTCAGGGAGCCACAGCTCCTAAAACTGGACAACTTGTCCTTAATTCTTATGTATCATTTACATGGAACTGAAATGGCACACATCTCGCCTGGCCACTAAAATACTGATCCAACACACAAATGTCTGTCAGGCTCATACGATATGTGGAAAAATCCCCAGCATTAAGGGAATTTTGGACAACATGTAATGTAAGCATTTAGCAGCTACCAATCTACAACTCTGCTCATCCTACACCTGTGATAACTGAGAATGCTGAGAGATATATTCAAATTAAGGTATTAAGCATCATATCGCTCGAAATTAGGTTAGCCTAGCATTCTTGCTATCAGACCTCATTTGCCATTAGCAAATGAAAATTCACTCCTGACGAGCATGCTTGCTGTGGCCAAGTTCGCTCTGCTGATGTCATGCCCCTGGCTGGAATTGGAGGACAAGGGTGGCACAAGTGTGGGACGTGCTGCCATTGGAGGCCTGTAACCAAGATGTTTTACACACTGACATCACACATCCAATATGCACATAATAAACATTGGCCTCACGCAGCTCTTGTTCCAGGCTTGCTAATGACACCACAATGACTGGAGGAGTAGTTAAGCTCTGTAGTGGTCAAGCAACACAACCAATTAGAATCACTAAAATTGTCATGGTGTTTGGAGTAAGCATTTAAGCCCTGCTGCTAGTATAGAATCACACCGGTCCTTTAAATTGGAAAAGCAATTTGGGAATCCTGGACTGGCTAACTTGCATGTGACATGCGAAACAGATTAGCTTTCCGAATCTGGTATTGCACAAGCTCACAAGAAATGTATGAAGCACTACTGGAAATAAATAAACTGACCAAATTACCATTTTTTTCTAGTAACTATTTAACTCACACAGAGTGTTATAGCCAATAATTTTATGAGAAAGTAGATTTACAGATAACCGGTACAGGTTGAGTTATTTGTTAAAAAAAAAAAAATCTAAAATTATTTTAGCGCTCTTCACAGAAGATTGATAAAACTGTTGAATTGAAAGTGAAGTCATTCTGTTATTGTATAACTCTGTCCCAGGCTAGCCAGAGGACATATGTCCACTGTCTGCAAATTCACAAATCAGACACAGATTTGTGAATTACCCGTTTGAAAATGTACGAATTAAAATTTTAATATAGAAAGCAACAACATTACAGGGACATTCCAAACACCAAAAGCCCACAGTGCATTGAAGTGGTTATAGTATTAAAAAGTAAAAAAAAAAACACCAAAACATGGGATTTCGCAAAGAAATCCCAACGTGACATATGTTGTGGATCTGGTGGCTGTGAGATGAAAGGTAAGTTTTACTTACTTCAAGCTATCCCTCATGGTCATGGCCATCATCCTGCTCGTCCTGTTAAGCTCCTGGGGCAAAGTACAACACTGAGGTCTATGGAGTATGTGGTGAGACTAACGGACCCTCCGTATACTATGACTGAACACCACAACTGTCACTTGTGACAGGCTCTGGGATTGGGCACAAGTTAACAGCAGAGCTCCACCTTTTGTCAACCTCAGACATGTCCATAAGACATTTATCCTAGGCTATCTCTGAATAGTTGGGTCAATATTTAATATAGAGTATACAGAAAGTTTGTTTTCACAGCAATACAGCATAGAGGGACTTCACTACACTGTTGTAGATATGGTGCTTGGATTTAATAGCATTTTAAATTTAGAAAACATTTATATCTGTTTCTGTGCGTCAAACTTGCCTGGTTACAATCACATGTTTGTTAGTCTACCCATTGTAAAGCGCTACAGAATTTGTTGGCGCTATATCAATATAATAATAATAACATCAAAGTAACCGTTTTTAAAACAATTCACACCCAACAAGGGATAGAAGCTTTTTACTGTTTGGTGGGAAAAAAAACAATTAAGACACTGACATGCAAATAAAAGATCTAATAAAGAGAAAATTTTGACCAGTTCAGAAAAAGTATTTTAAGTTTTTACATCTATTACTCCAATTAGTCTATCGGTTACAGGGGACTAATTCAGTGATTCTGAGCAGTGTTATTTTTTGAGTGACTGTGATTGGTTTAGTAGTTGCCTTCACAACTTAAACCAATAAAAACACAGCATTGATATTAATTGTAGAAATTAAATCTAGTTTTCTCAACCACTCTCATTGCCCGTGGCTTCTTGTAGCAATAAAAATGCAAACATTCAAGTTATATAACCTTTACATACACATTTGAACGTCTTGCATCAGCGTCTATATACAGTGCCTAGCAAGTATTGACTTTTTTCCACACTGTGTTAAAACCGGAATTCAAAATTCATTGTTTATTTTATTTCCCCCTACTGCCACAATTTACGAAGACACAAACATAAAAATAAACACAACAGAGGGGGCTCCAGTGACACAGCTTGAGACCTTGCCAAGTCGGCTACTCACTGGGGGCCGGAGAACCACTTCTGCGGCCTGCTTTGCCAGAGCTGGGGTAAGGCGGCCGATCTCCCCACTCACCGGTAACTCACCAGTCCTACCACTCTCCTAAACACCTCCCCCCCTCCCCCCTTCTGGACTGGCAGGGCTCATTCCGGTTCCCACTCGACTACCTAAACCAACTGACACGGCACCCATCTCCAAATCTGAACCAGGTCCTAGACACACTTGGAAAGGCAACTTAAGATGGCCTAGAGAGGAAGCACATGTGCAGCATGCACCAGCCCCTAGCTTCGTGGCGCTTATTCTGCAGTGGCTAGACAAGCACTTCCAAGGCTCTGCAGAACCGCCAATCATTGTTGCTGCCCCAACGTCGGGTGGAAGAGCTGAGTGGTGAGAGCCAGAGAACTCCCTCGGGCCTAGTTATACTACGCAAGCCCATACCTCCTACTACAGGCCTACCCGGGCCAAGAAGGGCTTGACCCAGATACATTTTCCACACAGAAGGAGGGACTATTGCCACGGACGGCGGCAAAACATCGGGTCCTCCCGCCACTCCCGTCCTGGGAGGGACTGGTACGTGGGCCAAAGATGTCAGCCTTCCTACCGGCCTGGGGCTGGAGTTACCTCGCTCCCAACGTGCCACCACCTCTGTACTCTGCCATGCTTTAAGTGCATCTGGCTCCTTACAGGGCCAAGAGCGGAGACGCACCTCACACATGAGCCGCAACTGGGCTATATTTGTAGAACTTAACAGCACCCTACAAGCAGTGCCCAGCCAGGGAATCTGGTGAAAACCTTGCAGGGGGGACATACTGACCACCAGATGCCAAGCACACAATATCCCTTAAGTCAGACGGTCTTGTCGAGATACTAAATATCCGGTAACAAATGTTGCGTCTCCATAGATAGTGTTCTGCATGTCTCCTGGCCATACAACCCACCATTATCTGTTTGCATCCATCTTGAGTCCAAATTGTAGGCCAGACAGACCTGACTAGAACCTTTCTATTCGGTTACCATCAGTTTATGTTATATAGTATGTCTAAACCTTAAAAAAATGTTCCACTATCGAAACTCCACATATGTGAAAGCCTGTGATAATATTGTGACTATGTATGCTGTTGTGGCATCGTATGCGGTCTTGTAAATCTGTGCACAAAAAAAAAAAAGAAATTAAACAATAACATTGTGTTGGTTGCATAAGTATTGACCCGTTCTCAATACTATGTTTGCAATTCTTTACAAACAGCTTTGAACTTCTGAATCTTGCATTTTGCCTATTCTTGAAAAAAAATGCTTTCTCCATTGTTTTCGAAACAGGTGCCATCTTTTTACACGTTTGTGGCCTCTTGCATTCATCACATGCAAAAATGATTATAGGAACTATATATTGTTCTCCCTCCCACCCCCACCCAATAGGCTTCTCCTCAATTATATGTCAAAGCGTAGCTTTGTGGAGTACCTTCTTACATTTGTTGCATCAATAACGTCTCCCAACTCTTCTGCAGATTTCTAAAGACCTTCTGGAATTAACAGTAATTTCTTGTTTTCTTCAACAGTAACCTAACACTTGGCAGTTAGTCATATTCTTTCCATTTTAAATAAATGGATTTAAGGATTTAACAGCACTTCCTCCAAAAGTTGTTTTAAAGTTTGTATTTTTTTTCTCCAAGAATCTAGTTGGTATTTTGTATTTGTATTTTTTTTCCTCCAAGAATCTAGTTGGTATTTTGTATTTGTATTTTTTTTCCTCCAAGAATCTAGTTGGTATTTTGTATTTTCTCCAATAATTTAATTGGTATTTTGTATTTTCTCCAAGAATCTAGTTGGTATTTTGTATTTTCTCCAAGAATCTAGTTGGTATTTTGTATTTGTATTTTTTTTCCTCCAAGAATCTAGTTGGTATTTTGTATTTTCTCCAAGAATCTAGTTGGTATTTTGTATTTTCTCCAATAATTTAATTGGTATTTTGTATTTTCTCCAAGAATCTAGTTGGTATTTTGTATTTTCTCCAATAATTTAATTGGTATTTTGTATTTTCTCCAAGAATCTAGTTGGTATTTTGTATTTTTTATTCCTCCAAGAATCTAATTGGTATTTTGTATTTTCTCCAAGAATCTAGTTGGTATTTTGTATTTGTATTTTCTCCAAGAATCTAGTTGGTATTTTGTATTTTCTCCAAGAATCTAGTTGGTATTTTGTATTTGTATTTTCTCCAAGAATCTAGTTGGTATTTTGATTTGTATTTTTTATTCCTCCAAGAATCTAGTTGGTATTTTCTCCAAGTATCTAGTTGGTATTTTGTATTTTCTCCAAGAATCTAGTTGGTATTTTGTATTTTCTCCAAGAATCTAGTTGGTATTTTGTATTTTCTCCAAGAATCTAGTTGGTATTTTGTATTTTCTCCAAGAATCTAGTTGGTATTTTGTATTTGTATTTTTTATTCCTCCAAGAATCTAATTGGTATTTTGTATTTTCTCCAAGAATCTAGTTGGAGGAATAAAAAAATACAAATCAAAATACCAACTAGATTCTTGGAGAAAATACAAAATACCAACTAGATTCTTGGAGGAATAAAAAATACAAATCAAAATACCAAGAATCTAGTTGGTATTTTGATTTGTATTTTTTCTCTCCAAGAATCCAGTTGGTATTTTGTATTTGTACTTTCTTTCCTCCAAGAATCTAGTTGGTATTTTGTATTTTTTTTCCTCCAAGAATCTAGTTGGTATTTTGTATTTTCTTTCCTCCAAGAATCTAGTTGGTATTTTGTATTTTCTTTCCTCCAAGAATCTAGTTGGTATTTTGTATTTTCTCCAAGAATCTAGTTGGTATTTTGTATTTGTATTTTCTCCAAGAATCTAGTTGGTATTTTGTATTTTCTCCAAGAATCTAATTGGTATTTTGTATTTTCTCCAAGAATCTATTTGGTATTTTGTATTTTCTCCAAATACCAACTAGATTATTGGAGAAAATACAAAAATACCAACTAGATTCTTGGAGGAATAAAAAATACAAATCAAAATACCAAGAATCTAGTTGGTATTTTGTAATTTCTGCAAGAATCTAGTTGGTATATTGATTTGTATTTTTTTTCTCTCCAAGAATCTAGTTGAGGTTAGAGGTAGAGGTAGCTTGTTAGATCCTGATCAGTTATCTATAGATCCTGATCAGTTATCTATAAACAGAACCTTATGAGATGGTGCCAATATGTATTGCCTCTACTTTTCAGAGTGCAGGTAACTTTTCCTTTGGTTTTTACTGTATGTATTGGAGCTTATGTGCACTATGGTCATTGCTGCCACCCAAGAGTTTTGTAATTTCTGCACAATCTAGTTTTTTTAATTTATTTACTTTTCAATAATAGGTTCAGTTAACTCAACATCATGTGCTGCTATGCAATTAGTTATGAGTCACCAAAATCAGGTGAATACTTATGCAAGAGTTTGCAATTTAACAATTTTGCAAAACATGAAATTTAGTTTCCCCAGTCCAAGATTTACAATTATGTGTATTATTATTATTGCCATTTACATAGCGCCAACAGATTCCGTAGCGCTTTACAATATTATGAGAGGGGGGATCTAACTATAAATAGGACAATTACAAGAAAACTTACAGGAACAATAGGTTGAAGAGGACCCTGTTCAAACGAGCTTGTAGATTAGTTATAAAAAAAGTATTATTCATTTAAATAGCAGGTTTCTCCACATTATAATGTCTAACAGTTGTACTTTAAAAATGTACTTTAACAGCTTTTGTATTCTCACATTCCTGGCCCATTCTATGAACTACAATTTTTGTGAACTGCATGTTTTAAATTAAATTTTTTTTATTTTTTTCATGGTGACCTTTAAAAGCAAATAACTGATAATAACTGGCATAAAAGCTATGGAGAGTTTAAGGTGTGTGGGTTTTTTTTGCAACAGATTTCCACAAGATATCCGGTTTCTGAAGATTAGATAAATTAAGATAACTAGAGTAGGGTGGAATAAATCCTTCCGGATTTGAACTACTCAAGAAAAGTGCAACTTCTTTCATTCAAGCAACAATTTAAACCATACAGCCAAGTTGAACGAAGCAAGATCTCTAGTATTAATGAGTGAGATCAGAAACAAAGCATATTGTATACACCAGTATACTGCGATGGCAAGTCGATGTGACTGTCAGGTGGATGTTTCAGTCTGAAACAAGCTATTCTCAACACTTGAGTACCCACACTACTTTTATTTATTGAAAAAGTGGCTAGGAGTTTAGATACAGGCATTAATATAGGAGTATGCAGAGTTAGTGCGTGCATCTCTGGTATATATAGTATATGCCCACACATACATAAAAGCTCTATCAGCAGGAATGGGAGCAAAACACTTTATTCACATAAGGGACCGAAATGTGGTGGTGCACAAAATGACAAGATGCCATGACAACCACGGTGTGCTACACATAGGGCAAGAACAACAAAATCAAACATTTATTTATAAAATATTTTACTAGGGAAAGACATCATAAATGTGACAGGGGGTTATAAGCCAATCAAGGGTGGGAAACAAATTACAAACTGTACAGGGCAACAAGATCGCTGGGGGGGAGGGGGAGGGAATGGGTACGGAAACTCCAAAGGGACTTAAAGGCCACAAGAGAGATTCAACAGAAGCACAAGACAGATGTAGAGAAGAACAATCAGAGGGGCAAAGATTCAAGAATGTAAAATAAATAATAGATGGAAACGTCATAAGGGAACCAAGCACGAAAATGTGTGTACAAGAGCATAATGGAGAAGAAAAATGAAAACCAAGATGCTTATGTAAATTGAAGGTGACACCCACAGAAATCATGTTAAACACTGGTATGAAACAAGGTTTTATGTTTTTGTAACACTAAGGAAATTAATTAGGTTTTGAATAGAGAATGCAACAAACACTTGATTTGGCCACTAAAACAGTTCCTTGTTTTGGTTGATTTTTTTTTTTTTTAAACTTACTCTGCCTTAAAATGTTAAATGTGTGTACATTAGCTTAAAAAATGAATGGAATCTAACCACAATTTTCTCAAATATGCTGCCACTCATGAAAACTTTTTTTTTTTTTTACAAAATCTAATAAAACTAATTTTTCTAAAAACACAGGTGAGAAATAAAAAGATGTTTAGGTGTTCAAGAACCCTAGCCCTCTCTTCCCTCTTTACATTCCTTTTATTGGTCCTTGAAGACAGGATTTATGAACTTATCAGAGATCATCGTTCAAGGTACTATCATGCCCAAGCAATGGAGTTACGCATAAAAGCTGCAGAAAGAAAAACAGAAAAAATAGCTCATTTAGAAAAAGAGAAAGGTCTGGTTTTAAACAGATTTCAGTAATAATTTTTTTTTTTTTTTTTTTTTTAGAGAACAAAATGTTAGTTCTGACAATTCTGAAGTTATATTGAGGATACTGTTACAATTCTAAACAGATGTAAGGGGAGAAATAAGTTTAAATGTAAAAGGAGATACATACAAATATCAGTTTTCCTGCTCTAGAGAAATGAAAGTAACCGTCATGGGCCCTCAGCACATGTGCCTCGTCTGCCATTCTTTCAGATCTATCCCGGAAGTAAAGCACTCTGTGACAGATCAGAGAGGATGCCGGGTGACAAACTTTGCAGTCCGGCTAAAAATATATGTGGGATATTTTACTTTTATATTAAAATATGTAGAAACCCTAGGAAATTCGGGATCACCGTGTATATATTAAATGGTATGGAAATTTTAACAGGACTCTGCTATTTTATAAAACAACAAGGCCCCTCTAAAATAAACACTGACAATTGTGAATAGGAATTTATTGCAGAACATAATGTGTAACTAAAAATCACTTCTATTCTAAATGTTTGCTTAAAGCCCAACTAATTTATTTTAAAAAAAAAATAAAAAAAATAAAAAAAAATAAATAAAAAAAAAATCAACCTAGCCCAGTGATGGCTAAACGTGACACCATAAATTGTTTCTGGACTACATTTACCATGATGCTCAGCTAGCTTTTAGACTCTAAAAGCTAGCTGAGCATCATGGGAAACGTAGTCCAGAAACAATTTATGGTGTCAAGCTTAGCCATCACTGACCTAGCCCTTACATGATCAGGATTGGATAAATGCTTTGGACTTCTTCAGATACATTGTATTTAATCTCCTCCCAGCCAAGATCAAAACGGATCCACTGGAGATGTATACTGTCACAATGAGTTTGCTACCCTTCATGAGATGAAGAATAAAGGGCATGGTTAAATAATCATATTATCGATTCAAAGGGTATCAGAGACACCACTGACAACTAGCTGCACCAGGTCAATTCTGTGTTAAAAGTACAGTTGGTGGAAAATGCAGCTAGAAACTTATAAGAAGCATTGTAAAAATAACATTCCCTACACAAACTTCACTCCCAGAGGACGGAACAGGAAAAAAAAAAAAAAAAAATTTAAAAATGGTAGTGATTAAAAGTAGGAGTTTCACAATACGCCTTAAACTTCCTCATCGTTGGCACTCAGCTACCCCTTTCTCTGTCCTTTTTTGTGTCAACGGTGACAAGCCGCAGAGGGGAAGCGCTGAATCATGTATTTAGTTCTGTGTCCATGGTGCTTTCTGATCAGTACTGTAACAGGCCACGCTATGGAATCATTACTTACACCCACAACTACGTAGTTATGCTACATTTTAACAATTCGATTTGATTTGTAATACAAGTAATATTTGCCTCATATTGTGGTAAAATGCTTTAAATTCATAATTAAAGTATGTACATTACTTTTAACAGCACTATTTTCCCCCTAAAAATATTTCTTTGACATGGTTCTTGCAAATAAAAGTGACATCCTCAAAATTCTACCAATGTCCAAAATGCTGTGCTTCTATTAAATCAAAAGTGTTATTTAAAACTGTGATCCCTTTTATCTGGATAAATAAATGAATGAAAGACAAAACAACAGTAATCAGAAAGGCTTTCAGCTTTTAAACTAACCCTGTGGGTGCAGTGGTCCTGTCATTTAAACCCTACAATGTAAAACAGGGCAATTTACAATGGATTGGAGGAGATTGTGATGCCAGCTTGGATGCAGATATCACAGCTGGAAACGACACCGGAGATGTACTGGCACTGCAAACGAGGCGAGTAAACTTTATTTTACACAGCAAATGCGGGCTGGAGAGAAGGGAACACATAGTTCTGAAATTCGATTGTTTCTGGACTATAGGTTCCCTTTAAGGCTTCATTAGGTAATTGAAGAGCTGTAGGTTACACACAATTCTTGTTATTGGCCGTCTCTTTCTGAGTAGAGTATTACAATCACTAAACTGGGTGCTTTTTATGATTGGTGGAGTCAACACTAGCCAATTACAGCTCTGTATGAGCAGCCAATAAACGTGCACAGTTATATGGCCAACATATACCCTCACCAATAACCAATCAGTAAGAGAATGAATGAATCATGAGAACAAGAAGTGAGGAGCGAGATCATCTGTTTTGGTCCCCTAATTTTTTCCTTAACCCCTTAAGGACCAAACTTCTGGAATAAAAGGGAATCATGACATGTCACACATGTCGTGTGTCCTTAAGGGGTTAAATGGCCCTGAGTCTTGTTAAATGAAAGCAATAATAAAACAGTTAAAATAAAAGTGAAGAGTTGAAATCTGACTACTTAATAAAACATTAATATTGTGGTTGAAATCATTTAAAGTGACAGCGCTTACCAGAGGTCACTCACCTTACCATAATATGCTATCAGTATTGTATTGGAACGATTCCCAGGGCGTGCTCCTATTGCCTTTAAGGGGGAAATCCACTGTCAAAACGAAGCCTCAAGGTTTCCAGATCTTCTCCCTGGTGCCTCACCGGGAGTTAATTTAAGTGGTAGATCCACCTGAAAGGCAATAACACCCCCTCCAGTGCCACACATGGCGTATAAGAAGGAAATCAGATACCTAAGCAGTCCTTAGCTGTGTGTATGGCAAATTCCACCCACACCCCCTTAATTTGCTGACAGAAGAATTCTAAACAACTGTATTAATCAATACAGAATTGTAAATGTGTTTCCGCTGACTATAGCATGCAACTTTATATGCAACAGAACAGTAATCTGCATGCATGTTGGGCTGTATTATACCATATATTTACTATTGATAAGGGACTGGAGTTACACTTTAACACAACCCCATTAATTGGCATTGACCATTACAAAACCTGAATGGTTACCATCAAATTGAAATGTATTATGAAATCAACTACCATCTCATACCATCTTTTACTGGACATCTTACAAGTTCACATATTATTTCTGGTTATTAGATCACATTGTTAGATATGGTATTATCTAAATCCAGTGTTTCTGGTTAAACTTTGAAACATACTTTAATAATCTATTGCAGAAGTGTAGGTAGGAACCGCACTCCATCTCTAAGCAGCCACCCGGTGCTCCTGAGCAGGACCAACAACCCCACAAAAGCAAAGCAAATAGAAGAAATCTCCAGGCACTCAGGATGTTAAAGCAGCAGGCAGGTTTATTGAAACAGAAAGGACAGCAACGTTTCGACGTAACAGGAGGACTTTGTCAAGCTAACACCACAAAACATAAGTGTATCTATAGCAAACAGTGTGAACAAATTCAGCAAATAATTCAATTTTAAAAAATCAATTAAAATATATTAACATAAGTAGTTTAAACAAACCGTGCAAAGTACAGCAGAACCTATACTTGTAATAAATATAATAATCTGTGAACTTTCCCTGTGTATCAGAAGAGGGAGAAGCAAAAAATAAGCAGAGGGCGCCTACCCTAAGCGCCAATGGAGTCACTACCGGCTAGGTGGAAAGCAAGGAAGTATTTCCTGGTCTTGGAACGCATAGTGGCACGCATGCGCAATAGAGAGAAAGGGATAAACAAAAGCCGTTGGTACAGTGATACACAGACGGCAATAAACGTTCGCGCGTGCATACGCACAATCTCGCAAGAAATAGCACAGAACTGTAATAATCCAGCACTTATGTCTGCAGGCAATCTGTTGAATGGAGACCAATATGTGCACACATATCGCCAAAACTAATGAAAAGACCTAATGGATATAAATCCCATTTGCTCTCGCGAGTGCGTCCTGGGTTAATGCACCAAACAGGTTTTATGTACGTGGGCCAATCTAGCCAAAAGTTTAAGATGAGGTTCTCTAAACATAAGTAGACAATCCGCACTGGATTGACTGACTTACCTCTTCCTGCTCATTTTTTGGAAGAGAGAAATCTCTCTCCACGAAGGTTCTAGATTTTAGAACAAATTGTGGAACTGCCTAAGAGAGGTAATAGAAATAGGAGATTATTATTACGTGAGGCTTACTGGATTCGGGACCTTGACACATTACATCCTAAAGGTTTAAATTATGAATATGATTTATCTACGTTGATTTGCGCTAAGGTTGCGGTTTCTGTTTTTATTGCTGTATGGCTACATGTAGCTAATTTTTAATGTTTACTAATTTTTTACTTTTTCAGGTCTCCTGATAGAAATTTGGTGTTGGTTCTTATCTACACCCCAATTCCTTTTTAATTTGGCATGAATTCTGTATTATCTTTTCGGGACCACTTTGACACAATATATTATCTATGTGGTTGCACTAGAAGTATTCTTATATAATAATATTTTTATATGCACTTTATAGTCACATAATATTAAAATATATTGTTTTATTAGTATACCTTATTACTTAAATTTATACTTGGCACTTTATTTCAAATCTAATTATTACTTAACTATTTACTGTGACACTTTACACATGCACTTTGTTTAATGTACATAGCATATGCACTTAATAGATGCACTTTGTTGAATGTACATTGCGTACATAGCGCACACTATTATTCTATGGCTTTTTTTTTTTTACTTATTCTATTACTGATGTAGGCCATTTTATAAGTAAATAAATATTTACATATTTGTGTTATTGACACTATTTTCACACACTTTATAGTCGATACTATAGTGGTGTTACTTATGTGCATATATTGTGACTTCATTAACTCTCATATATCTTTTAACTTTTTTATATTCTCATCTGTCTAGTGGAATATCCGTTATTTGGTGATAACCAATATGACAAAAGTAAAAATTTTGATGAATTTATGTTTTTTTTAATTCCCTTTATTTTTTTCTATATTTTCTGATAAAATGTTTTAGAGGTATATTTCTCTCATATACTTTCAGATTTCCCTGTGTGTGTCTTGTTGGGGGCTCATTTTAAATTTGTTTTCCTTCTTTAAGCCTTTGGTTGTTTACTGATTAAGGATATGTTAATCTCTGGTTGTAAGCACGCATAGCTACTCCTGTTTGGTGCATTACCCAGGGACACATGCGCGAGAGCAAGTGGGATTTATATTTCTTATTACACACGAATCCATAGGACTTTTCATTAGCTGCAGCAATACGTGCGCACATATTGGTCTCCATTCGGCAGATTGCCTGAAGACATGGGTGCTGGATTATTAGTTTTGTGCTATTTCTTGCGAGATCGTGTGTATGCACGCTCGATCATTTACTGTCGTCTGTGTATCACTAGACCATATATTATCCCTCTCTCTAGTGCGCATGCGCTGCCACTATGCGTTCCAAGACCAGGAAAGGCTTCTTTGCTTTCCACCTACCCGGTAATGACTCCATTGGTGTTCCCTCTGCTTATTTTTTGCATTTTTCATTTATTATTTTCTTTTCATTTCTTTTCATTTATTTTTTCTTCTCCCTCTGATACACAGGATTAAGTCACGGATTATTTATTACATGCACGGATACTGTTGTACTTTGCATGGTTTGTTTAAACTAATTATGTTAATATAATTTAATTGATTTTTAACGGAATTATTTGCTGACCTTGTTCACACTGTTTGCTATATACACTTGTGTTCTTTTGTGGTGTTAGCTTGACAAAGACCACCTGTTAGGTCGAAACGTTGCTGTCATTTCTGTTTCAATAAACCTGCCTGGAGATTTGTTCTATATACTTAAATAGTCAACCGCCTACTATAAAGTCCTCTTGCTGAAAACTACCAGTAAATACTACAAATGCACTCAGCTAGAGGACAAGTCAGATTTGGCTGTGAGGTTGGGATCTGTGATGATGTAGGCTTTTGCCATCCTTTGGATACTAAATAAATACTGAAGCTTATGGAAATCACAATTGTGTGTGTAGGGATGTTTTGCAATGACATGAATACACAACACAATTTACATTCTGAGCATGGGACACAGCATACACTTAGGTGAGCATCTGGACCATTCATTATTTTAAAGGTTTTTTTAAATGTTGACGTTTCAATGGCTTGTAAGGGGATTTTAAAACAAAATGCACGTGCCACTTTTTACCCCACGTAAGAGAAGGAACAGCATTTTGCAGCCTGAAAACACATTTTACAGACTCATTCCCATTTGTTTGAAACAAGACTTTTCTCCTTTCCTCGCGAAAAAAACAAACTGTTTGCAAATCTGCTAGCACGCTACAGTAGGCATTTTCTAAACTTTTATATTCGATATAGAAACACTACCCTCTTCTAGCATAATACAAATGTAACCCCAAAAGGTAATTAAAAACTGTTGGGAGCATGCAATAAAATGAACATGAGGGCAAACATTTATTTTAAAATTAAAAACAAATTACCATTTTAAGCTTGTTGTGGGGAAAAAACAAAACTAAACTAATTTTACTTTTTAAAGAAATAATGTAACTCAGAAACAAGTTCCTTGTACACATATTTTTAGTTTACCAGCCATAGTTTATTTTACCCTTGTTCTTATTTCATTGGAAACTTTAATGTGTGTCGGGTGCTGCTCATTACTGACAAACTACAAATCTTAGCAGCACTGCATGCTACCATTTTTTAGATGACAGCTAAACATACTATTTCCGAAACCAAATCTCTCCCTTGATAGTTTAGGGAGACCAAAGCCACATCAATGGTGTACTTAATTAATCAATCAGAAACCATAATGAAGCCACTTCTTTACTACTAACACTTTAGTAGTATTACAACAAATATAACACAAAGTGCATGTAATGCAAGTTTGCTCCCCCTCTTAAGTAAATAACTAATGGTCTTTATTTTATGGGGCATTGCTAATTACATAGAGGTTTTGAGGTACAATTGGCTTTAGTTTGTTTGTCAACATGAAATTTAACTCATTAATTGTATCACGTTTCCGTGTAGTAGTAAAAGTTAGGGCATAGAGTTGCTAACGTGAAACTTTAAGAATCATAAAACAAATAATAAATATACAAAAAGAACCAGTTCTTTTAGAAAAGTAAAAATGTAAAAGTTGTGAATAAATATAAGTAATATCCAGTTAAGTTAGACATTAAACCAAGATGATTTGACTATCTTTATTCATTTTCAAAATTACAATTCCAGGAAAAATTTAACAAACATTTACAAGAACATGTTATTTGGTATCGGACAATAATGATTTCCTTCAGAAACAGCTTTCTCATGATAGGATACACCGATATTGCCTTATGCTGACTTTGTTTCATATATAATCTATACAATACACATACAGATGCATGTGTACAGAACTTTAAGTCATTGATATATCCAAAAAGGACATTTGGAACAAAACTAAGTAAAATATGACAGATCTATTCAAATTTAGTCAATTGAAAGAATGACAAATTTATATGTTAAAAGCAGTGTTAGTTCTAAATTTATACCTCCACTCCAAACACTAAGCCAATTAAGATTGAAATGTTCAAATTGTACATAAAGTCGTTTTACAACTAAAAGCAGTATTTAAATTTACCGGTTTAGTCAACATAAGTTGTGAGCAGTCCTTGTATCATGAGCAATATTTTCCTAGCATGGCAGACAGAGTGGATGGACTGAGCAAAAAAAATCTTATTAAACAATACAAAACCTGTACCAGCACTGAGTACTGCTATAGGCTGAACATGGATAAAAACAAACAAAAAATAAAATAAAAAGGTTACTCACATAAGTCTTCACAGAAAGATCATATCCCAATAAAAATGGGAAATGTTTGAAGTTAATTTGAAAGCACACCAATAATCAGCCCATTATCGAACTAGTTTCATACATTTTAACATAAGTGAATCTTTATGTACAGCTGTATCTGAATTTATACTGAGCCAATTTACAATAGAAACATATTTACAGCTACCAGAAACTGCCATAGGTGGAAGGCACGCAAGTCTCTCTGGCAGTGGAGGGATTATGCAGAAATTTTCGTTAAATACAACGTTTATGTATTTTGCGCTTTAGAGATGTTACCTGTAATTCACAATTTGTAATTTTCCCATCAAAACAAAAAATATTGCCAAAGCAGATACAATCCAAGCAATGCTGACACATCATTCTTTAAAAATAAAAAATAAAATAAAAAAGGAAATAAGAACAAAATTGCTCCTTTGAACAGAACATTTGTGCTAACGCACATCATAGAAACAACTTGAACCTCTTTAAAGCCACAAACTTTAGACAAAAAAATACTTATACACAATGTGTAAGGGTTTGAAAGAAAAATCTGAATCCTTACATGTTTACTTTATCATTTTTTTTGGTTTTTTGTGTGAACCATATATAAACTACAAGCAACATGAAAACTCTAAAAACTCAAGTGACCATGCTGATCTGAAATAAGAAAGTGAAGGTTGTGGTTGCTTTAGAAACATTGACAAGAGACTGCCAATTAAATGACTAATCAATAGAAATGCAAAAAAAAATTAAAAAAAATTTGCTTTTCATTCATAGGCTACATAACTTTACATGTAACATTGAAATTTCTATTAAACTTGTATAGCAACAATCTAAAATGTTACAGGAAAAAAAATGTAAGCTTTGCAACAGTTTAAACATTTGATGTAAGAATTTTATTTGTGGCTGCATTTTTGAGAAAAACTAGCTGAAGAGTATTGTGGCATGTGTTGGTAAACCTAAAGCACCACTTTAAAGAAACAAAGTAGTACTTGCGCAGTCCACATCAATCACAGACTACACGTTTAAAACTGCAATACTCTGACAAGCATATTTAACGGTCTGTGTAATACACTGTTACCAATTGGTGCTGCAACGTAAGGTAGAGAGAAAACGATTTCTAGTCTTTAAATATAATGCAACTCCAAATTTAAAGAGAACCAAGAAATGTTTTGCTCTCTCCTCACCACTGAATGCCAGGCAGCAACTAAACCTTCAGGCATACTGTTTGAGCATTGGGATTCACTAAAAAAAAAAAAAAGTAAAAAAAATCAACTAATATTTCTTCACACTTCCTGAGCTATATAGCAAGCACGTCACTAAATATATGCCATGGTTCAGGTCAGAGACCAAGATATAATTTGTAAGCTGAAGTGTTGAGCAAAAATTAAAGTGTAAAAAAATCAAATAAAAAAATACATATACACAACGTTTTGCATTGGTTGTCTTCATTATCACGAAGAGCAACTTGTGTTTAGTTTCAAATAGTGAACCAATGTCTCCGTATTAGATCACTGGCCAGTCAAAAAAACGTAACACTTAAAATAAAAAGCACAGTATATTGTTTAGGTATGTCCATCATCATAAAAATGATTTGTTTACACTGTGTTTTCATTTTTCTAGGAGGTCCATATTCAGCATCTTTGTCTGAGCCGTTTATCCGAACGCAGCAGTCAACTGGAAGATTACAAGAGGATCATTTCTACTACTTTAGAAAGTAGGTCCATTATTAAGCAATATTCAATGGAAAATCACTGATCCAGATGTCATAGCAATCCCTTTTATATGACCACTTCATTGTTGTTCATGTCCCAATCCTTTGTTTGTCAATTTGTAACCAGAAGATACACACAAAAGTGTGATTAAATGAATCCAGAAAAAAAATTTTTTTTTTTTAAATGTTGGAGGTTTGGTTAATGAGGGGGTTAAACAAAGAGGACTAACATGGGAACATTTACTGCATTCAGATATTTGAATTGTCCATTTGTAGAATGACCACATGAGAAATACTAATATTTTTCTTTCAATGGGCCCATATGTTCATTATGAGCAGTGACGTTCTGACATTTTGCTAATTACACTTCATGGACACAGAGGTGAAATGTTGAAATTCAAGAGTAGGTGAGAATCATGCCCAACCACACCAAAATGTCTGCTGCAGATGAGCTCTTACTCGTTAAGTAAAAAATAAATACTCCTTTTATTTTTTATTATTGATAATAAAGAGGTTACTAAACATTTCTACATGGTGCATTGCAACTTAATATAATGTACAGAAATCCTGTACAGGCCTAGAAGAACCCAAATGCACATGTCTGCCTTTAAATATGGTGCTGCGGCATAAGCTTTAGCATGGGTCTTCAGTAGATGAGTAAGTGTAATTAGGCCTGCTTTAAAACTCGCAAATAAGAGGGAACACAATTTCAGAAGCTTGATGACATTTTAACAGTAAATTGGCAAATATTAAGCAAATAAAGATGAAAAGCTTAGCCCCACGTGAGGGTTTTTTGTGTAGATTGTTTTAAACAGAAAAAAAATAAACACTTTAAGAAGCTGCAAATACTACATTCTGTTAAGAGTACATGCACAGTGGTGCTTACTGTTTGCTTACACAATGAGTTCTAGTTGCACGAATGTTAAGATTTAGTTTCAATGCGTTTATACAAGCAAGATACTAGCAGTCACCCAAACAGATCAAGCTAGATGTTTATTTAAAATCTGATATTGCAAAAATAGTGCGTGGGGGGAGGGAGAGGGGAGTTGGGGTGGGAAATGTGTGTGATATATTACACTTCCACTGCAACTGACAAACGTGGTACTGCCTTTGCTGCATTTTCAGTTTTGGATGTACGGCACCAATGTGGTTACATGTCGAGCAGGTCCGTAACTGCACGCGCACACACACACCAAAAAAAATGCTGTCCATAGTTTTGTTCAACTGTACATTGAGTCTGCTCATCTGGGGGTGGTTTTCTTTTGCTTTTTTTCCTGTAGTTGTAATAAATCAGTCCTTAGGGTTCTTTAATGACCAGTTTGCAACCAATCAGAACTCGGGATCTGGAAGCATTAGGTCCATGTGAGGCCATTAAAGAAGGGGGGTCACAGCCCATCAGAGCGTTGGTTTGGCAACAGGTATCTAATTGTGGTTAATCCACCTTCCTCAAACAATTCTAGAACTGTAAAACAAAAAAACGCCATATTGCAAAATGTATTTAGAAAAAAGCATGAATCACAGTCATTTAATCTAAAAACACAAAACACTTGGGAAGCATGTCATTTTGACTACATTATTCTGAATACATTAAAACACACCTGGCTTTTCACAATCCCGCGGATGAAAGCAATCTTTTTTTTTTAAAGAATAAAAGACAAGTCTTTTCAATAAACTCAATCTTACAACAGGTGACAAGGTAATTTTTTTTTGTTTTTTTACTTACAATAACAATTTATCAAAGAAAATAATCATCTTTCTGGTTTTCCATAAAAAAAAAAAAAAAAATCTCTCTCTCTCTCAAAGGAATGTATATTTGTTCAACTTGTACACAGAAAACCCAAGTACAAGTTATATTTTAAAATGCTTTCTCCTCATGAATAAAAAACTAGAGGGATATCCAGTGATACTTGACACTGTCAGTTTAATGTAAAAAGAAACTAATTTTGAACACTTTGAAAGTGTTTTCACTACATTACAGTAATCCTACAAGAACTCTTTTTTTTTTTTTTTAATTCTATTTGAACTTTTTCTAAACGTCATTCCAAAAAGATTAAAATTGTAAATGAGGCGCTGTTAAACTGGTTTGCATTTCTTACTGTTCAAAGAAAAGTGGTCTACTAGCAATAACAAACCACTTCCTTTAAATGCACTTTGTCCAAACAAGAATGGAACAGTTTAGGACCATAAAAATTTTCCTTGTAAAATCTTTTGCCTTATTACATTTATTATTCTAAATGTTGCTACTCTTTTTGGTAATGTAATCTCCACAAAAAGCAGAGAGAGAGGGGGAATAAAAATGTATGTTCATTCAGTACTCTCCCAAACGCAGTAATTCTGAGGTTACTGCTCCTAATGGTGGGCTATGAAGGGTACATAATTTGAAACATACAACACTAAAAGTTTTCAAATATTACAGAAAACCAATATTAAAGTCTAGACATCAACAGAAACTGCTATAATACAATTAAAGCATCTGAAATGTGGAAAAATAGAAAGCTAGAAACATCTTTGAAAAGGGTCAATACTACTGCATCAAAATATTTAATAATGCCAATACATTAAATCAATATGGGTGTATAGTTACGAGTAAAACACATCCTCAAATCTTGTGAAAATTATATAATTTAGCTCAAACATTCTTTGTTCTATGACCACAATAGATCATGGCCGTGGTTATGGTGTAAAGAGTCTTTGGATGTTTGTCAAATTGTTTGAGCAGTTTGCCTATAAAGGTGGCCCCTCTACTGCTGCTCAATTAATAAGGAAGTAGGCTTCCAGATTATCTGACCATCCTTGGACACCAATGAGGTAGCCCTACGCGAACCTGCACCAAGCACTCACAATCAGCCACTGCCATACAAGTCCACCTCTCCACATTAGCCAGGCCACGGGAGAAGGGACTGGTGGTTAGGGTACAAAACAAACACTCTATGAACCATAACCACAATTGGATTTAGTGTTTATAGTGCGTCAGGTGTCTCTTTAACAAAGACCGATTTTAAATAACTAAAAAAAAAAAACGCGCCAGCAGAAAAATGTTAGGAGCCACAACTTGTATGACATGCCCATCTATATTTGACAGAATTAACTTACACAAAAAAAAAACCATAATGAACATAATTTTCAGGACATATTTAGCATTAACAAAAAAATAATATCAGTAACGTTAGTCATTTCGAAATTTAAAGTCAGAAACTAGTTTACAAAATATTTCCATCTTACACATAACTTGTTTCCAGTGCTACACTCAATTGTTACGGTTCCTTTAAAAGCTCTGTCCTAAAGGATACACTGACTAATTGATCAGCAGTAACATGCTTACAAGAGAGCCGCTGGCAAGGAATAGGACATGCACACTGTGGCTTATAAGGCACAAATTTACAGTGGTAAACCAAAGTGGTGCTACCAAAACAAATAAAATTTAAAAAAAAAGTGTACGAAAGTACATTTGGTTACTTTGATGCATCAGATTGTTTTGGTAGGTTCCATCACTACACTAAGTGTAAATTACACTTACTAAAGTAGTATTTAAGTGTTAGCATAACACAAAAATATTGCAGAAAAGAATAAATGAGTGTGCTCCATGCCTATTTCACAGTATCCACTAAAACATTCAGAAAGGACACATGATATTTCTTACCTGTGTAGAACCTGTGCTAGTAAAAACATCATCCTTGCTCTCTTCGTTCTTCTTATCCACGGGAACCCATTCGCCATATACTTTGTCAGTTTCCTTTTTCCTGTGCTGGGAGCCAGACGATACTGGGAACTCTTTAGTCAGAGTTACCTGATTTTTCGGAGCTGGCTTTATTGATGGATTCTGAAAATGTTAAAAAAAAAAAAAAAAAAAAATGTAAAATACCTGCCCACTTTCTTTTTAGCATCACCACTCTAACCTGGAACAAAAATTTTTTGAGGCTAAAGTTTGGAATAGGAATGGCCCTTCTGCTCGCTTAAACTTGGAAGACTTACACAGCAATTTGCCATGAGCAGGACCAAAAGCTGGCCATTTTTTTTTTTTAAATCTTTAATGAATTATTTACAATAATTGAATGATTACCAAGAAACAGTTGAGAAAGCTTTAAATGGAGAAATTACAAATAACGGTTTCCTGGCCCAGAACTATAAACTGTGGACAGAGAGGTATATACCACTTGTGTGACAGAGGGTAGGTATATCTAAGTTTTGGCCTAGCTTTTGTTCTAGTGAAGGAAAGGACAGATATCCAAGATTAAGAGATATGGTGAAAATTAAGAAGATGAGAAGGGAAGATTAAGTTAGGGGGACACTATGGGGAAAAAAGGAAAAACTGAGGCAAACAATGACTGTCAGAACTAATAGCAAGATCTCTGCTGACTAGCTGGGACTCTACCTTGTCCCCAACACTCCGGTATTTCAATCTAGGTCAGTCATGGCCATTCTAAGTGTGGATGTAAACAGCCATTAGTCAGTTAAAAAATGTGTTAAAGTGGGATCAAACTGCAGAAGATGCTATCTGAGCTTCCATAGATTTTCTCTTTTCCTCTCTGCTGCCCCCGGAATCTACTATATTGATCTAAGCCTGGTGGTGCAGGGAGGCGCTATTGGCTGAGATCAATTAGCTGACACTGTCAGCCAATGATCAAGCATTGCACAGCAAGGCTTAGCTCAGGAAAGCCAACATAAGTTCATTGCAAGAGCTTCAAGTTCTAAGAGTAAAGGCATCAAGAAGACACCAGGTAATCGGTCAAACCGTACACTGTGAAACGGCTTGACTATTTATCCTAGGAGAATGCCAGCGGCCCGATCCTCCTCCTCCTACAGAGCACCGCAATTGTGGAACGAACCCCCGCACACTTTAAAATCTTCCCCAAGCCTAAAGTCCTTTAAGAGATCCCTCTCTACATACCTCAAACCAGAATGCACGTGTCATGGTTGATTATATATTTCCTACCTGTTCTATGTTAAAAATTGTATATATTGTGTATTAATATTGTTTTTGTATTTTATTGTACCCTGTTGTAACAATGCAATGTTTTGTGGACCCAGGACATACTTGAAAACGAGAGAAATTTCAATGTATCTTTTCTGGTAAAATATTTTATAAATAGTTATGGTGCTTGGAGTTTTACTTTGAGCCAGTGCTGTGCCCCTGGTTAGCTTGCAGATACCAATTAAGTGAGACCAAACTCCAAGCTGCTGTTAAAGGGACACTCCAGGTACCAAAACAACTTAATCTAGATGAAGTTATCGTGCAAGGAGGCCACTGGAGGAAACCTTACCTGAAGTGGTTAAACCGTTCTTGAACGATTTAACCTCTAGGTTGCATCCAGTGCCGGTATCAGCTCCTCCTCACCGGCATCCGGCTTCAGTATTTTCACTTATAGGAAGCGCGGAGTGCCGCCAGGCAGGAGCACCGTTGATTGTCCCTAAATTGGCTAGGAAAAGGTACATTTATTGAGGTAAGAGTGGCTCCAGGAGCCTCCTGGCACCATCAACTTTATTTAGATGAAGTTGTTTTAATAAATGGAGTGTCCCTTTAATTAAGTGTTTTGTTTTTTTTTTATATATATATTTGCCCAAAAGCATTGTGATTGTGAGTAGAGCAGATGTAGCCAAAAAGGGTGCATCAAAAATCTGGCTCCAGTACATATATATGATTGGGCAAGGCCACCATATGTGTAGCATGGATACCGCACTTGTTGACCAAGGAAACACTATCTAGCTATCTAGATCACCATGTTAGGATTTTGTAATGTATTTCCTAAAACCTTGAACATATAAAGGAGCTTTCGTGTGTACCATAATTTTTCACCATTGGTCACAGGAGAACAAGATCTCCAGGGTCCTTTCTCAGGTACTTATCAACTTCAGTTTCTGTGGCTCATCTCCCAACAATAGCAGGTACATGGAAGGGTTCCCGCATTTCAAATAGTCATAGTCAATGCACATGCTCTCAGAATGAGTCAATTCCCTTTCCAAGACATGCAGCAGAAGGACGAAGCAAAAAAAAGTGGAAAAGCTGAGGGTAGCAGATATGTTTGAGGAATCCTAGTGCTTGGCCCTGCACTAAATCTTCAAGGGGTCTCAGTTTACCATTTGATATCAGGTGACTTTTGCAGGCAGGCTTGTCTAAGTCTAGAAAGGTGAAGCTTCGCTCTCATGTCCTAGCTAGGTAGTTTGGGTTGCTCAGGATGGAGGTTAACTGGTTAGATGTAGTTGAGCGTTTACAGCAGATAAATGCTTTCTTAAATGGCCATATCTGAGGCATATTGAGATAAATAAATAAAATAGTTCCTAGTTTACATAATCTAACATAACCATAACAAGCTGGGAAATCAATATCCTTGGAGCAATGTGCTTCACACTCAATCATTTTAAAAAGAAAGTAAATACAAAAAATAAATTTCTGATTTCCTTTGCACAATCTGGGACATTAAAAACAGATTCAACTTTAAACTGCACCTTGATTTATCCTAATGAACTGCATTTAACATTCTGATAACTAATCTTTTATATTAGCAGATAACGAATCTATTGTTATTGTCTGGTAGGGATGTGCATGGTCCAAAAATGCGGATCCGTTTGGAAATTCGGGTAAGAAAGGAAATTCGGGTAAGAAAGAAAATTCGGGTAAGAAAGAAAATTCGGGTAAGAAAGAAAATTCGGGTAAGAAAGAAAATTCGGGTAAGAAAGAAAATTCGGGTAAGAAAGAAAATTCGGGTAAGAAAGAAAATTCGGGTAAGAAAGAAAATTCGGGTAAGAAAGAAAATTCGGGTAAGAAAGAAAATTCGGGTAAGAAAGAAAATTCGGGTAAGAAAGAAAATTCGGGTAAGAAAGAAAATTCGGGTAAGAAAGAAAATTCGGGACTTCAGCAACTCAGAAAATCTGTAGGGCTCCCTAACCATCAATCACGTAATTTTCCCTCCCTCTCTTGTTTTGCCACTTTACAGACGGGACATCGGCAATTAAGGACTTCGGAAGCATCCGAATGTCCGAATTCACATGTCTATTGTCTTGTCTGTCCCTATGAACTATGCCACTTGGACTTAACTTGGACTTAAAATTCTAACATTGCTGCAAAGAAATGTTTGCATTCTTGCATAGCAGCTCAGTGTTATTTACAACAGTGGAGCTAAACTTAAGAGGCAGCAATTGCCCATAGCATCTGCCTTGTACAGACATCTCATTGAGCTGCATTGGAAAGTCTATGATTGGACAGCCACAGAAAGTCTGGAGGGAGTTAGAATGGGAAGGCTTGCAAATATTTAGACAAGCTGTTTTTAGATTTACCCCCAATAAAAAATGGAAGATTAAATGCATGCAAATTTTCATTTGGGGTTTATATGTACGGAAGAGTGATATTTATTTATTTTGTATTTGGGTAGGGGAATGTCCCTTTAAAGGAACATTAAAAGTACGATAACCACTTGACAAGTTATCTGGGTTCAGACAGGCGCATGCCTGAGCTACGTCCTGCCATGCAGCTAAGCCTGTGACAGCGGAGTGCTCTCAGCTACTGAGCACCTCCCTGCACCACTTGGCTATGCTTAATGCTGGAGCTTCAGAGGTCAGAGGAGGTGGAAGCAGGAGCCAAACAGGCATTAGTATAAAATGTCATCTTCACTATTAGATTTAAAAAAAAAAAAAAAAAATTGTTACTTTTCTGCTCACTTCAATATTTGAGTGAAGCACGGCAAACATACAGTCCGTATGCAGCTATTTCTGAAATCTGCCAAGCCAATGGGGGTTTCTCCATTAGAGGCATTAAACCTTATCATGCTGTGAATGGTGACACAAATGTCAAGTCCTTTGAAAATCAAAGATCTGAAGGAGGGAGTAGCTTTTTTGGCTGTTTGGTTGACAGTCAATAGAAGAGTTTTCACAAAATGTATGCACTGCCGTTTTTCAGCATTGTCAAACAAAATGGGCACATCCGCTGACCCAAACAACCACATTAAGACACATGCAGTGTTAGTGGTGGTTAAAGACGGACTTTAAATTCAAGCAATACCAAACTGAGATGTCTATATCTACATGACCAATAGTTGTGGGGCCTTTCTATGAAATGAGAATCAGCTGGTGAGATATTGAACTGAGATAACTATTGAGCCCAAAACCAAGTGCAGAAAATTATAGCAACAATGAAAACCCTTTGGCGTTTTAATAGCTTTTCAACATAACCCCATTCTCAAAATGCAAGGATGAAATCTGAATTAAAGACAGAAAAACAGGAAACATAGCTTTTCATTAAGCAAATATGGAAACCGTCTGTACTACAAGGAATACGAATTCAAACATACATAAGAATTACAAACTTTATTTACGACTCACAGCGTTACCACAGATATAGATAAATCTTACTACGCCAAATCTAGAATGTGACAGATCATACTTACCAGCAAGCTAAATGAAATAGGTTTATGCTCGCTGACTTTAAATGGATGATTATAAAAGGGCCGTTCCTCTTCCTCTTCATCAGAATCATGAGGCTTATTTACAATCACATCATCTTCTTTGCTTTGAGCAATTTGCTTACATTTCTTAAATAAAAAAAAAATATATATATTATTTATTGGTAAACGTTTAGAATAGATTTTAAAGCAGGAATATACCTAGCATAAATAGACAGACACAAAACCCTGAGATGGCTTTATTTTAGCGATTTTAGGGATAGGCAACCTTTAGCACTCCACATGTTGTGGACTACATCTCTACTTATGCTTTCCCATAATGGCTGTAAGTGCATGAAGGCATATAGTAGTCCACAACATCTAGAGTGCCGAAGTTTGCCTATCCCTGGGGTAGTGGTTAAACGACAGTATAGAATGCTAAGGGTCAAATTTAACATAGGTTGTAGTGTAAGATGTAATAAGTTTACACTTATCTCTTTTCCATCGCCAGGGCACAATCCTCTCTGCCTGACATCACCACTCCCCCACACTTGAGAGGAAAGGAGATCTGGGAGGACAGCGGCAGCACAAGGAGGTGGGAGAATGCCCTCACTATTGTGGTGTATGGAGTAACTATTTAAAATGCCCCCCATTAATCTTAGGTATACCAGGACATGTATGTTCCTGTGTGAAGTAGGGCCCACAGACTACACAGACTTGATCAGTGTATATTATTCCTTTACCGGCAGTGCACTACAGGATTCTAAAACATGAACTGCTCGTTTTAATAAATGGGGCAAATCATGCAACCACCAACACACAAAATATATACTCCATCAGCATGTGCTTCTCTTAGCTAAGGCTAAAGGGACACTATTCACCAGAACCACAAAAGATTAATGTAATGGTTCTGGTCTCTATAGAATGAGCAAAAACAAACAAAAACGCTGCATTTTCAGAGGTGCTTCCTAGTCCAGCACTATACAGCTGTGCAGGGAGATGCTGAATGATCCCAATAGAGATGCATTGATTCAACGCATTTTATGAGGAGATGCAGACTGGCGCAGTGCATCGGTTAAGCCACACATAAAAAAATAGAGACTCGATGCTTTCCTATGGAAAAGCATTGATTTAGCTGACATCCTTATGACTGATGATCTCAGCCATATAGAGTCGGAGCCAGCTACGGCTAGACCGGTGCTGTGCTTGAGAAAAAGGTTAAGTAAAAATCACCTTTTCACTCCACAGAGAGGATGGCCAGGGAAGTAAACATTTATTTCAGAACTAGTGTGTTAAAAATGCATGTTTGTAGTCCTAACACTATAGTGTGTTCCTTAAAGGAGTATTTTGATTGTGACATATAGAAATAGGAGACTACTGACAAGGCCTCCACGTTAAACATAAAAATAAAATTTTAAAAAGTGTTAATGTGCTAGTAAGGAAATATTTCTCAAGATAAGGGAAAAAAAATATTGTTTTTCATAGGGGAAAAATTGATGGAAGAAATTGGTATACACATGAATAGTAGGTGAAAAAGATGGAAGCCCATCATATCAAACTATAGCAGGGATACACAATCTTCAGCACTCCAGCTGTTGTGGAATATATCTTGATCTTACTGCCATAATGACGGAAAAGCATCAGGGGAGATGTAGTCCACAACATCTAGAATGCCAAATGGCACCTACCCCTGATCTATTCTCATAAATATTGCATGAGACTATAATTGTATTTTTCATTGGTGTGCATCTTTCAACTCTTACAGGACACTGTAAGAATATTACACTGGTTTCTTTGCATAAGAAGTGTTTGATCATTTCACATTTTTATAAATGTTCTCCACGTTAAGTAGGAGACCTTGCTGCAGACAATGGCTACCTGACCTCCTAGAAACAGCCTCCAGTGCCAGGTAGGGGTGGGTGGGTGTGTGTGTGTGTGTGTCACACACCGACTGCTGAGTGCACACAGACAGGCGGCAGTGTGTGTGTGTGTGTGTATATACACACACACACAAACATACATACAGCTGAACATATATATATATATATATATATATATATATATATATATATATACCCGTGTGTGTTCAGCAGTGTGTATTCAGTGTTCTGTGTGTATGTGTGTATTCAGCAGTGTGTGTGCGTTCAGCAGTCTGTGTGTATGTATTGCATTTGTTGGGGGTACCAATAAATATAAGATTAATTTTATCGATAATACAGGTCTGTGTGCATAATATCCTTGTACAGTCGTGCTCCCTGTATAGTGCAGGTCTTTGTGTATAATGTGTGTATAATATCCCAGGACAGTGAGTGCTCCCTGTATAATACAGGTATGTGTGTATAATAAGCTGGGACAGTCAATGCTCCCTGTATAATACTCGCAGACTCCAGTAACTAGAAGAATCAGAAGCAGTGGAGAGGTGACTGAAGCCTCAATCTGAGACATTAAACATGTTGAATTGGTGGCATGAAAAGGGGCTAATGGAATAGGTGCATAGGTTTTCCTTTTGCTCCCATTACTCTCTTTAATTCCATTCTGTACATTCTCCTTCTAAATCTTTAATTTCCTATTTTCTGTTTTATTTTTTGTTTACTATATTTTCTCCCCAATATAATTATTTTTGTTAAAGGACCACTCTAGGCACCCAGACCACTTCAGCTTAATGAAGTGGTCTGGGTGCCAGGTCCAGCTAGGGTTAACCCATTTTTTCATAAACATAGCAGTTTCAGAGAAACTATGTTTATGAATGGGTTAAGCCTACCCCTATTTCCTCTAGTGGCTGTCTCATTGACAGCCACTAGAGGCGCTTGCGTGCTTCTCACTGTGATTTTCACAGTGAGAGCACGCCAGCGTCCATAGGAAAGCATTGTGAATGCTTTCCTATGCGACCGGCTGAATGCGCGCGCAGCTCTTGCCGCGCGTGCGCATTCAGCCCAGGAGGAGGAACGGAGGAGGAGAGGTCCCCGCCCAGCGCTGGAAAAAGGTAAGTTTGCCGGGCGGGAGGTGGTCCCTGAGGGTGGGGGCACCCTCAGGGCACTATAGTGGTCCTTTAACTAATTATGTTCTATGGTGTAGACACAACTCTCTGACTGAAGCACACCTGCACAAGGTCTTTGTATATTTGTACTGACAGTGTCACCACTGATACCCAACTCATTAAGTGATAAAATGTACCTGCCTGATATAGATGCTGTGCTGCGAATGTATCTATCGCACACCAATGATGCATGGTACTGTTGGTGGAACTTGGTGTTATAAAGGTCTACTCAATAAAGAGAGAATTGCATGGAATTGTGATGGGAATTTCAAACTTTAGGTCGAGATGAAGCTGAATGGGAGAACTTTTCCAACTCTGTTACTTTGGCCTTAAGTTTAAAATTACTCTCAATTCCCTGTAATTCTCTCTTTATTGAGTAGACCCTGTAATCTGCACTATAAGTAAGCAGAGATTAATTATGTGGGTTGAACATAGTGGGTGGAGCTTTGCAGCAGTGGGTGTGGTAAATTTTCAAGGTAGTAATTGATAGCTGTGCTGCAAAGTGTCCCTGTAAATTATTTTTTTCAAATGTTGCCAACTATGCATTTTCTACATTAACTTTAGACAGTGCCAGCTAGTTTACATAATCCATTTACCTCGGTAAGTTCTTGTATCGTAACACCATATGTTCGATGAGTAATTTTTTCTTCTACTGAGGCAGAAGGAGTAATAACAGGCTTTAAGCTGGGTGGCAAAGGTACACCTGCTTTAGCACACATAGCAGCTGCATTTGCTTTTGCTATTTCAAGGAGCTGTGCTTTGTCTGTAAAGAAAAGTAAGCTTTATTAGTCCTTTGCGAAATACAGACCATTACATAACAAATCAACAAAAAAGATGGGTCAAAATAATGAAGATTAGTCTACATAAACAGCATATGTTGGTTCTACATAAATTATACACATTTCAACTGCAGTATCTGACAGAAAAGATTTAAGAAAAAAAAAAATCATCCCAGCATCAATAAAATGGGTAACTTAATAACCTTGATACCCAGAGCATCATTGAAAACACTCTTCCTGGTTAAATCATTTCATATTATAAAACATATTGGTTGCATTGGTCTTCAAGTTCTGAATGGGCAGATTCAGACAGAGACTAAGCATTCACTGAGCGTGCTCACTTGTAAAAAATATAAAATAAAAAATAATACAGATACTACACAATTCATTTGACTTTTTACCTAAAGAAAATATAAAATTAGGCAAAACTACAATTAACTAAATAAATTAAATTATTCTATCAGGTATCAATTTATTCCTCTTACCAAACACTGAAGAACACTCAGTATTCAGGGCATCAGAATGTTTCAATTTCAAATTTAAAGCCAAGGAAGCCATACTGGAAGTTGACAATTTAAATTTGAAATTTACTTTAAATACATGGACAATTCTCACTTTACTAAATAACCTACTTAATGTTTAACAATGACATACTTAAGATGTTGGAGATTTAATATTATTATGATTAACTTCTTAGAGTAATAGATAAAATTTGTACATGTTCTGATCAAAATAGAATGTCCACTCTTTTTCAGTAACCACTTATTCACAAATCCTGGCCAAAGTTAGTGTTCAGCATTATACGTTTTACTGCTCTAAAACATTCATATTTGTGTTCAGTAATGTCTTTTGAGTATAGTAACCCCCATGTACAGGTTTTGTTTGGAAAGTAACAAGGTTAAGTATAGGGCTTGCTAATTAAATTCTCTGGACTTTCTGCTTGGTTGTCAGGCAGGTCCTTCAAATCGTAATTAATAAAATAAAATATAAAATCACATAATATGTAAAAAGATTACATAAAATTTATGCATAGAACATAAACACACACACATTTAAATGCTATGTGAATTATGTAAAAATATATATATTAAAATTATGTTCTCCAATTTCAAGCTGAAAGGATAGAGCCACTTTAAAATAGAACTTTGTTGCAATATATGAAAAAGTTCCATAATTTTGATAATTTAAAATAAGTAGTGGCACTGCACTCATGTTGAAAGTTCATCCTACCGTTCAGTTATTAGGTTACTACTGCATTCTATGCCAAGAGTGAAAGATTTACTAATTTAATCCATTGAGTAATGAAGACAATGTATATTACACTATAACATAGTAAAAGAAAAAAAAAGAAAAGAAAAATATACATTACATACACAAACACACACACACAAAACTTAATGCTTACCAAGATCTGTGAGGCGTTTAGGGGACCTAGAGGAGTCTAGTGACTTTTCTCGTGATCTTGACCGATTACGTCGAATAGGAGATCGGCTGAAGCTTTTTCTTCTCAAAGGTGACCTTGATCGTCTCCTCCTTATTGGGGATATACACAAGCCTGCTCGCCTTACAGGCGATCTCGACTTTTTCCGTCTTGGAGGAGTTCGACTCCTGCGTCTTGATTTAATGTTGTAATGATCATTAGAACTGGACCGCTTCCGTCGCTTTTCACTTGCTTTGTTTTTGTCTCTCGATGTAGACCTTGATCGGGTTTTCCTTTTACGTGTTGAGTTACTCTGTGAGCGACTTCGAGATCTATCAGATTTAGAGCACTTTGGTTTGTGCACTGGAGACTTTGGGGTCAATGATTTGGAGTATGACCGTCTCTTGTGGGCCATTGAAGGGGATCGGGAGCACCTCTTGCGGGCTGCAGAAGAGGAACGAGAACGTTTTCTGCGGGTTGGGGATATGGAACGTGATCGTTTCCTGCGGGCTGGTGACGCAGAGTGGGAACGCTTCCTACGGGCTGGAGAGGTTGAGCGTGAACGCTTCCTGCGGGATGGAGAGGTTGAACGGGAACGTCTCCTGCGGACTGGAGAGATGGAGCGCCTCCTGCGGACTGGAGATGCAGAACGGGAGCGCCTCCTTCGGCCTGGCGATGCAGAGCGGGATCGCCTTCTGCGGGCTAGAGATGCAGAGCGAGAGCGCCTCCTGCGACATAGAGATGCAGAGCGAGAGCGCCTCCTGCGAGTTGAAGATGTGGAGCGGGAGCGCCTTCTGCGAGCTAGAGATGCAGAGTGTGAGCGCCTCCTGCGGGCCACAGAGGTTGAGCGGGAGCGCCTCCTACGTCCCACAGACGTGGACTTTGAGCGCCGCTTCCGAGAGACAGACACTGAGCGGGAGCGCCTCTTACGAATTACAGACTTTGAACGAGAGCGCTGTTTTCGTGTAGCTGATTTTGAGCGTGACTTTCTTCTTTGTGTTGTAGACTTAGACCGTGATCTCTTTCTTCTCACTGGTGACTTGGATCGGGACTTCCTCTTTCGTACTAATGATTTTGAACGTGAACGCTTCTTGCGTGTGGCTGACCTTGACCTGGATCTTCTAATATCATCTGACTTTGACTGTGAACGTTTTCTTCTGTCTAAGGATTTGGAGAGCGACCGCCTTGATCCAGATTTGGACTGTGAACTTGGGCAGTCTTGTTTAGTTATGGATTTTGAATGTGTCTGCTTGCTAGAAGATTCCAACTTTGAAACAATCTGTTCTAGCAGGTCAGGTGAAGTCACACTTTGCTGTTCGGAAACTGCAACTAATTCACAAAGAGAAGATTGCTTAATTTCTTGCTCAGGAAGCTCTGATTTAGAAGGGTGTCCAGCTAGGTTTGTAGGCATAGTCTTTTCAGACATAGGAGACTCTGAATCTAATTGTTCAGGTGACTTAGACTGCACTTCAGAAGATAATTCAGAATTTGAAGGTTGATTGCATGGAGAATGTGTTTTTTCATTACATCGTTCAGGATCAAAGTCTTTCTGTTTTTCATTACAGAACTGTGATTCTTCAAATGACAAGTCTGAAAGAGAAACCTGTTTTTGCACAGGTTGTGCTGGCAAATTATCGCTGAACATATTGAGCTGCAAGTTAGAAACTTCACACACCAATACTTTCCCCAATGTAGATGCAGATAAAGTATTAGGAGAGTTTATTGAAATATCAGCAATTGGTATATTTACAGATAAGTGCTCATCGTCTAATAGTATAGTCTCTGGCTCTTGTTTAAGTGTCTCTGTACAAGAGGGCATAGAAAGCTGATGTAATGTTGGGGGTTCAGGTTCCGGCTGAGAAATATTGTTGGATGCTTTGAATATTGTTATGACTTTCTCTGTTGAAGACTTTCCTTCAGAGGAATGAAGCAGAGTTGGTTGGTCAGAATCATAAGGCAACAGTTCAGGTGGTGTATGAAAGACTGAAGATGCAAGTTCAGAGGAATAGTCTGAAATACCAAGATATGGGTTTTCAGGCTGCTCAGAATCATACGGGAGTAGTTTTGGTGGTGGCTCAGAATTGAATATAGCATGCTCAGCTGAAGGCTCAGCTATAGAGGAATGCAATACTGTAAGCTGCTCAGAGTCATATGGCAGCAGGTCAGGTGGTGGGGTTTTATAAGGCGGATCTGCATGCAGAATTTCATTAGAATGTACAGACAAAGTTTCATCAGAAATTTCATCAGATGGTGTACTTATCAAACTCAACAATGTACATGTATCTGTGATAGAAACAGAGGCTCCTTTTTGACATAGTTTATCTTCGGCTAATGTATCACAGTTACCTTCGGGCTGTTTTGACGTCTCTGAAACATTGGTTTCTAGAAGAAACTTGGTTGGAAGTGTAACAGCTGTGATATTTTTTTGATAGTGCCACTGAATACCACGGTTAGCATGTGGAACAGCCAGCATGTTAGCTGTGCTTTCAGACGTTTCACAGAGTTTGGTGTCTTGAATGCTTGAGTCTGTTTTTGTAAAGAGAAGTTTTTCTGTACATAAAGGACCTTTGTCTGTCAGCGAGGAGCCTGCTTTGGAAGGAGCTTCATCTGATCTGAGTGTTTGTTGTGTTATGGAGCGGTCAGGGCTGCCACACGGCTCGTCCGTCGGGGGGCGGTCGGGGCTGCCACACGGCTCGTCCGTCGGGGGGCGGTCGGGGCTGCCACACGGCTCGTCCGTCGGGGGGCGGTCGGGGCTGCCACACGGCTCGTCCGTCGGGGGGCGGTCGGGGCTGCCATGGGACTTATGAGGTAAGAGGAGATCTAGGTCATCACTGGGCTTGCAAAGCAGAGTGAGGATGTCACATGGCTTATCTGGAACAAGGCAGTCAGGACTACCAGAGGGATAATCAGGCAAAGAGCGGTGAGGGATGCTGTAGGATTCACTGCAGCTACCTAAAGAGCTGACTGATCGGGTGTTGTAGGTAGCAGCACACCTACTGGACAAAGCAGAGTTGGAACTTGCACTGTGTTCATCCAACAGAGGGAGATTTGGACTTACACAGGGTTCATCCAGGAACACTTTAGGGCTGGAATAAAATTTATTTTCTAGGGGCTGGTCACCTTCATCAGGACTGGCCAACTGCTCTTGTACTATGGGGCCAGAAGAGCTTGCATAGGTTTGGATTACCATGGGGGAGGTAGAGCTGGCACACAGGTCTATCGCCACAGGGTGTTGACATGGAGCCACAACATTGATGTCTTCATGACTGTCGCATGGCTCTTTTATAATGAGGTGGGCTGGGCTGATACAAGGCTCTTTCATCAAAGCACAGTGAGGGTTGTCACTGGGTTCTTCTACCACAGAACAATGAGGGCTTTTGCTAAGCACTCCAACCACGGGGACATACGAGCTGCTACTAGTCTCCATCACTGGTTCCTCAGACCTGATGAAGTTATCATTTACTAGGGGTTGGTCAGAGATTAAGGAAAGTGCATCTACCAAGGGTTGCCCAAGTCTGCTAAAGGGTTTTTCTTCCAGGGGTTGGCCATGGCTGTTGCATGGTTCATGTACAAGAGGGTGTCCAGGGCTGTGATAGGGTTCATCTACCAGTGGTTGGTTAGGGCTTCGGCATGGTTCAACTACAAAAGGTTCAGCAAGGAAGATGTTAAGTCTGCCAGGATAATCGGTAACAGGAGTTGCAGTAATCACACAAGCACTGGAGGGTTCACATACACGTAAATGTTGGTTAGGACTGGAACAGGATTCAGTAGCCACAAAGTGGAGGTTAGTTGTAGAACAGGGTTCAGCTGCCAACAGATGATTTGGACTGGAGCAGGCTTCAACTGGTAGCAGAGGGAGGTTGGGGCTGTCCGACAGCTCAGATGCTTTTAAGAAGTGCTCTGGGCTGACAGTTGAAGCAGTACTTAAAGGACGGTCAAGACTTGTAAATTCAGCTACTACGTTGTGAACGGAACTGGAAAAAGATTCAGCAGCTACCAAAAATGAATTAGAACCAATATAAGGTTCTGTAGGTGGTGAAGAGCTATCAAGGTTGACATAGGGTTCAGCGGAAAGAGGAAGAAAATGGTTTGCACAGGACTCAGTTGTGAGTAAGGGATGAACAGGGCTGGAACAGTGTTCTGATACTACTTGAGCTCTTATAGGGCTAGTACAGAGTTCAGTTTCGTGTGGATTTTTTACAGGACTGGCACAGTGATCAAGTGATGATATGCATTGGACAGGGATGGTGCAGGTTTCGGTCAAAGGGGGGCAGGTAGAGCTGAATTCAGAGGAATGAGGCTTGCCAGGGAAGGATTGAGAGGAAATGGGGCTCCCTGGGCTAGGTTCAGATGAAAGAGGGTGGTCAGGGCTGACTGATGGCTCAGCAGGAAAAGGGGCCTCCATGCTAGCAAATGGTTGTTCTGAGAGGAATTCAGTGTTCGTAAAAGGTTCTGATTTAAGCGGGTTGTCAAGTATGCCATACTGTTCACGCAGAACAGAACGGTAAGGGACCAAAACCGGTTCACGTTGAAGAACTTTATTAGGACTGGTAAACTGTTCAGCTGAAAGGGTGTGCTGATGGCAAGAATATGTTTCAACAGAAGTAGAACTTTGTTGAGGGCTTGCACATGGTTCAGTTGAAAGGGGAAGCGGAGAGCTAGCACATGGTTCAGCTGAAAGGGGAGGCAGAGGGCTAGCACATGGTTCAGCTGAAAGGGGAGGCAGAGGGCTAGCACATGGTTCAGCTGAAAGGGGAGGCAGAGGGCTAGCACATGGTTCAGCTGAAAGGGGAGGCAGAGGGCTAGCACATGGTTCAGCTGAAAGGGGAGGCAGAGGGCTAGCACATGGTTCAGCTGAAAGGGGAGGCAGAGGGCTAGCACATGGTTCAGCTGAAAGGGGAGGCAGAGGGCTAGCACATGGTTCAGCTGAAAGGGGAGCAGAGGGCTAGCACATGGTTCAGCTGAAAGGGGAGCAGAGGGCTAGCACATGGTTCAGCTGAAAGGGGAGGCAGAGGGCTAGCACATGGTTCAGCTGAAAGGGGAGGCAGAGGGCTAGCACATGGTTCAGCTGAAAGGGGAGGCAGAGGGCTAGCACATGGTTCAGCTGAAAGGGGAGGCAGAGGGCTAGCACATGGTTCAGCTGAAAGGGGAGGCAGAGGGCTAGCACATGGTTCAGCTGAAAGGGGAGGCAGAGGGCTAGCACATGGTTCAGCTGATAGGGGTTGTGGAGGGCTAGCACATGGTTCAGCTGATAGGGGTGGTGGAGGGCTAGCACATGGTTCAGCTGAAAGGAGTCGTGGAGGGATAGCACATGGTTCAGCTGAAATGGGATGTGGTGGAACAGCACATGGTTCAGCTGAAAGGGGAGATGGAGGGATAGCACCTGGTTCAGCTGAAAGGAGAGATGGAGGGATAGCACCTGGTTCAGCTGAAAGGGGAGATGGAGGGATAGCACATGGTTCAGTTGAAAGGGGAGATGGAGGAATAGCACATGGTTCAGCTGAAAGGGGATGTAGAGGGAAATCACATGGTTCAGCTGAAAGGGGACGTGTAGGGAAAGCACACAGTTCACTTGAAGAGGAAGGCTTGGGACTAGTATATGATACAGGGCTTGCATGAGGCCCAGTTACAAGATTGTGTTTTGGGCTGACATGAGGTTCAGACTGAGGGCCACAGACAGCAGAAGACGCATCAAGTTTAGGATGTTCAGCACTGACAAATGGTTCAGCTGAAACAGGTGGTACAGTGTTTTCACAAGGCTCAGCAGTAGATGAGTGCCTGGACTGGGCATGTGCGTCAGCCAGTAAACAGTGGTCAAAGCTGGAGTAAGATGCAGTCAGGAGAGCACTATCACTGCTGACAAACTGTGCAGGAGCTAGTGAATGGACAGGGCTGGAACCTTCAACCTGTGCAGGGCCAGCACATGGTTCATCTACGGGGGGGTTTGCAGGACTGGCACTGTGTACATCTACAGGGGAGTGGGCAGGGCTCGAATAACGATGAGCTACAGGGGAATGGGCAGGGCTTCCATAATGTTCAGTGAGAGGTGATGAATCAGGGCTGGCATAAGGTTCAACCAGAATGGGACGTACAGGGCTAGCATAAGGCTCAACTACGAGAGGAAGGCATGGGCTAGCACAGATATCAGTTGCAAGAGGATTATTGCATTGTTCTGTAGGATGGGAGAGGTCATGATTAACATAAGGCTCAATTGAATGGGAGGGTACAGGCTTTTCATAAGCTTCAGGGAAAAGTGTGGGTTCAGTGCGGGCATAAGGCTCCTCCAGAATAGCGTGGTCAGGACTCTCATCAACATCAGATGGAATGGAGTGGTCAGGGCTAGCATAAGGCTCAACCAGAAGAGGACGGCAAGGGCGGTTATAGGATTCAATCAGAATGGGGTGGTTAGGTAAAGGAAAAGATTCAGCTAAAACAGAATGTTCAGGACTAACATAAGGTTCAACAAGCATTGTGTGATCAGGATTGGCACAAGATTCAGCTTTTACTGGGCTCTTGCTACTGGCGCTAGGCTCAGCAAATATGGATTGTCTGGTGTAGCCACTGGTGTCTGACAAAATATTCTGCTGAGGACTTACACATGATTCATTGTTTGAGTGAAGGAGAACATCAGCACTGACTTCAGTCATTAAAGGTTTGCCACAAGCATTATGTTCATTAATTAGGGATACATTCACACAAGCACTATGTGCAAGAACTAAGGTATTATCTTGTTTAGGAAGCAAGCAATCAGCACTGGCAATGTCTTTAAGGCATCGCTCAAGGTCACCAGACTGCTCAGCCATAATGGAAGGTTTGGGGGTAGTGCTTGGTTCCATAGGTTCCTCAAGATGTGCATGGGGTGAATTGGGCAGAAGGAGACTGGGGCCAGTATCAAATAAAATGTTCTCAGTGCTAGGAGCAGTTTCAGGTTGCTGTAGATGATGGTTAATTGTAGGTGACTCAGTAAAGAGACCATTGTGAGACAAATCTGGTTGCTCAGATGGCAAGAGAAGTTCAAATGGCTGAGAGCTTTGCACAAATGGATACTGTTCAATGCAAGAGGTACCTTCGCTGAAAGGTAATTTGCAATCCAAATGTTTAGCAATGCCTGATTCTGAAGCTATAGTTTGACTGGTCAAGTCCAGAAAAGCCACCTGGGCATCCGCATCAAACTTGCTTACTGTATGTGGAGTCTCAGACTCTTGCTCATTCACAGTAGCCTGAGTTTCAGGGGCCAAAACATCCATAGTTGTGAGGGAGTCACTAACAACAATGTCCAAAGTCGCTGGAGTCTCACAGTTTACCTCACTCTCAGCCATATGGTTCTCAGCTGTCAGTTCATCCACAGCAGCTTGGGTTTCAGCTGCCAGCTCATTCACAGCTGCCTTGGTCTCAGCCATCAGCTCATCAACAGCAGCTTGGGTCTCAGCAGCCAGCTCGTCCACAGTAGCCCTAGTCTCATCTCTCAGCTCACTTACAGCATCATGGGTTTCATCTTCCTGCTTGTCTACAACAGCAAGCACATTCACATCCACTTGAGTTACAGAGGTCAACGCATTCATTGTGGGCGGGGTCTCAGTAGCCAGCTCATTAAATTCACTCAAGGCATGAGCATCCTGTTCATTCTCTACTGATAAAGTCTCAGAGATTAAGTGGTTCATAGTCACCTGTGTTTCAGTTGTTAGAGCAGGTACAGGAACTCGAGTTTCAGTAACTAGGGCAGGCACTGAGGCCTGGGTATCACTTAATAGGCATGAACCAGGAATCTGGGCTGCACTAGGGATGTTGGGAATTGCCCAATGTGTTCCAGCAGCTAGATGGGGCACAGCCCATTGTGTTCCAGTTGCTAAGTTAGTCACAGCCCACTGTGAGCTAGCAGTCAAGTCAGACAAAGCCCATTGTGAGCCAGCAGCCAGATCAGGCACAGCCCACTGTGAGCCAGCAGCCAAATTAGAAACTGCCCATTGAGAGCCAGCAGACAAATCAGACACTGCCCATTGTGAGCCTGTAGCAATGTCTGTAACAGGCCACTGTGTTCCAGATGACAAGTCAGATACAGGCCAGTGTGCAGCTGTAGTCATTTCAGGCATTGTCCACTGTGATCCAGATGTCAAATCAGACACAGGCCACTGAGTTCCAGTAGTCATATTTGGTATAGGCCATTGTGTGCCAGGAGCTAGTTCAGGAATAGCTACTGGTGTTATTTCATTGGACAGATCAGGTTGAAGTTGTGCCTCAGTTGTAAGATTATGCAAAGACAACTGAGGTCTTGCACTCAGACTGGACATAGGCAATTGTGCTTTTGTAGTCAACTTTGTTGCTGGCAATTGTGTCTTATTAGTTCGGTTAGAATTTGGCAACTGTGGTATTATTAAAGGTGTTTTGACAGTCAGGCCGGGCAAAGGTAATTGCTCCTTTGAAGGCTGCTTTCCAGAGGAACTCTGTAATTTGGCTTGTGATAATTGTTTCTGAATAAGAGACTTTAAACCAATACTGTGCTTGAAAGCAGTAGACTTTGACTGCACTTTTTTTTGTGGTGGGGAAGACGACTTTGACTTGTTTCTAGTTAAAGGAGATTTTTCCTTCTGCTTTGTTTGTGACCTTGAGCGTCGTTTGCGGTTTGGCGATTTCGACAATGAACGCTGTTTCTTGATTGAAAGAGAACGAGGTGGTCTTGAAGTGGATCGAGACCGATGCCTAGAAGTTGATAAAGAACGGGAACGCCTCCATCTTCCTCGAGACCTAGAACTGTGTCTTCGAGTTGACGATCTTGAAAGTGACCGAGACAGAGAATGACCTCTTCTTGAATGTCTTCTTGGAGATGTAGACTTAGAACTTGATCTAGAGTGTCTCTTTTTAATTGTGGATTTTGAGCGAGAGCGATGTCTCCAAGTTGCCGATTTAGAGCGTGAACGACTCGTTGATGAAACAGATTTTGATCGTGATCTCCTCCTCCACACAGGTGATTTTGAACGTGAAAGCTTTCTCCTACCTAATTTGGAGCCTGAACGTTTCTTTCTCCCAGAAGATCTGGAACGAGATGGTCTTCTCCTTATTGGTGATTTAGAGCAAACCCTTTTACTCCTGCCTGTTGATTTTGAGCGTCGTTTCCTCTCAGTTGATTTTGAATGAGAATGCCTTCTCTTGCCTGCTGACTTTGACGGAGAACGTTTTTTCCTGGTTTTTGATTTAGATCGAGAATGTCTTCTCTTTCCTCTAGACTTTGAACGGGCGCGCCTTCGCCGAACTGATTTTGACCGTGAGCGCCTTCTGCTTGTTGGTGATTGTGATTTCCTTTTTCGAAGCAATGATTTAGAACGGGAACGCCTTTTCCTTTGGGGAGATTTTGACCGTGATGCTCGTCCACGATCCACAGATGGTGATCTACTCTCCTGAGCCATAGAC